TTCCGGTCAATGAAGTTGCTAAAATTTCTAAAATACCGAATATCGGGAGGTACCGTTATATGGGGGCTATACGGAGACGTAATTTTTGTCATAGGCTGTAGTACCTATTACGAACTTAAACTACGTTACATGGGGCAATATGAAAGCGTGGACCGACATAGCCCATTTACGAATCTAACCAGCCTACGGGCAAAATACACATGTGTGCAAAATTTTATCCTTCTATCTCAATTGGTTCGAAAGATGGTGTGATTACAACAGAAATTGACCTAGAATATATATACTTTGTTGGGTCTGACATGAGTATTTCGATGAATTACAAACGGAAAGGCAAAGTTAATATACCCTCCATAGAATGGTGGAGTTGTTCGCCCTAGACTAAAAGTTATTGAAAGAAGACAGGCAGTTTACAGTCTGTTTGACGCACTTTCAGGCTGAATTAGGTCGTATGTGCCAAAATCTATTGCATTCGGACTTATACTATCCGCTTAGTGCACAAAAAACTTAAAAGCGGATAAAGATATATTTGGGAGCTATATTCAAAGCTGAACCGATCTTTAAATTAAAATTTGGTGTAGTTTTTCTGAGCTGTAGTTGATATGCAGGATGAGATGAAAAAACTGCAACCAACTTCAGACCGCAGTCATTTCTAAGCCACTCGTTCGACAGCTGTTAAAATGATTCCAGTGACAGCCCATTATATTGTTTACAAGCGTACAAAAGCTTTTTGGTGAGAATTTTCCAGAAAAAAGTTATTCGTGATGGAATTTAAGCGTGATAGTTTTATTTATTTATATTTGGCTGAAAAACCACAAGTGGCTATCGTTAGAGCACTCCAGCATTAAAATGTGAATAAATCTTTTCTGTCTCATTCTATTGCTCGTTACCATGATAGTAGTAGCGTAGCCCGACGTCAAGGAAGTGGTCGGAAGAAAACAGCAAAATCAGCAGAAATGGTTCGAAAAATAAAGAAGAGACTTAATCGAACCCAGCGTCGCAGTGGCTGAAAAATGGCTCGGCATTCGGCAAATATTAAAAAATTAGCTCGGGGTAAAACCATTGAAATTCCAAAATGTGCAAGAACTTACACTGCAACAAAAAGAAAATAGACTCAACAAAGCTAAAGAGTTGCTTCGCTTGGCCGAAAGTGGTGAACTGCCGAATTTGGTTTTCTTCGATGAGAAAACATTCGTGGGTCGCCATAACAGCCGATAGTCGCTCTCCGCTCGTATTAATCGACCGTGGCATCAGAATAAATAATACCGCAAAAATATTCTGGACGGTGTATTAAAGCCTTAGCCACGCAAAAATGTTGGTCGCAGAATTTAGACATTCCAATAGGACTCAGCACCATCGCACTCAGCACGCGCCACCCAAGAATGGTTACAAAATGAGGTTCCTCACTTCATTTCCAGCGCACAATGGCCACCGAAATTTCCGGATACCAATCCGTTGGATTATTGTGTCTAGAACATTTTGGAAAACAAGGTTGGCACTAAAAAAGACCTAATGTCGATCACCTCAAGTAAGCGCATCGCCGGGAATGGGCCAAAATAGCGCAGAACAACATTTAGCTCTGTAGATGTGAGGTACATTTCTAGTCATAATTCGTGCCAAAATATAACCAATTCGAAAAACTTAAACTTATTCTAAAATTTTATGCTATTTCCGACATTTTTTGCTTTCATTCAATAAAATTAAAAAAAAGGTAAAAATTATGGAGTTTGACTTTCTTGTAGGTTTTTATCTCACCCTGTATGTGCCATATTCTATCCAAATTGGACTAATATTACACATAAAAAGCAAATAATAAGTGGTAAATAGTACCATGTGGGACAGAATTATGGACATCGTTCAGGTTATGCCTTGGACTGGATTCTTGTTCTATGAAAATACGGAATAAAACATATTTGCTTTAAAAATTTAAACTATATATGTACGGTTTTTTGGTCCTTAAAACCCAAATTAATTAAAAATTCCAAAAAATGCTAGTACTTTTTTACAAGTATTGCTGCAGTCTATGTCGAAAGCGAAAGAACTTTCTACATATTTTCCGCTTTGCTTTGCTATTGGACACTGCAATTTGAGTTGGGGTAGGTCATGACACAAAACAGTCGAGAGAAATTTCACAAAGAGAAAATGCTAAGAGCGAGAAAAAAACACAAATATAAGTGTGTATGTACATTCGTGTGTAAATATGTATTGTTGAGACTAGAAATGTACCTCATATCTACAGAGCTAAATGTTGTTAGCATATCGACTACGTAAATACGGAGATAGGTTCCGTCTGACCGAACTTGTTATGCACTACACAATTTGAAAACTTAATTTTGTGGACTCAAATTCACTTCCATTTCAGCTGATACCTTGGGCTACTTCCAACTAAAAGTGGACCAATAAAGACCATTTAACAATAATTTTCTTTCATATTCTTACGTGGCATCTAATACTTTTTCCTCGAATGTAGGGAATTTTTTATTACTAGATCTTACCTCCGCTGTTGCTTTTAGAAAGCTTGTATATATTTACTTTTTCGTTTGTGCCAGGTCCATCGATTTTCATTTGAATCTCTGCATTGGTTTCCAGAAATCACCAGTCCTAAATACAGATCCAGTTCCAGGTCTGGGCATAAGAAGAAAACTATTTGGTGACGATAAATTTCGATTTATCTCGCGATCACCGTGGAGGATATTTTCGAAATTATCCCAAACCGTGGCACATGAAAGACTAATCTAATGTTCTTGAATTTTGAATCTGACCCATCCTACAGGGTGAGATAAAAATAAAGTGCAAAAAGTCATGAGCCATAATTTTTAAATTATGATAAATATTAAATATTTTTATTGAATGGAAACAAAAAATGTCGGAAATAGCATAAAATTGTAGAATAAGTTTAGATTTGTTCGAATTGGTCACCTTTGGCACGAATTATGTTTGAAGGCCAATGAAACCGTCATACGCTGCCCTAGTGTTGCTCTGCGGTATTTTGGCCCATTCCCTGCGAAGCGCTTGCTTGAGTTGATCGACATTTTGGTTTTTTTAGTGCCAACTTTGCATTCCAAAATACTCCGGACACAATAGTCCAACGGATTGGTATCCGTATCTCGTATCCGGTGATTTTGGTGGCCATTGTGCGCTGAAAATGAAGCGAGGAACCTCATTTCGTAACCATTCTTGGTGGCGCTTGCTGAGTGCGATGGTGTTCAGTCCTGTTGGAATGTCTAAGGTCTGCGGCCAAAATGTTTGCGTCCAAGGCTTTAATACACCCTTCAGAATATATTCCCGATAATATTCGGCATTTATTCTGATGGCACGGTCGATTAATACGAGCGTAGGTTGTTATGGCGGCCCACGGTTGTTATGGCGGCCCACACCATCACCACGGCCGGCGCTTGAGTTCTGGAGGCCAACCGAAGATGCACATTTTCAGCTGACCTCTTTGGCAAGTAAACACGATGTTTTCTCATCGGAGAAAACCAATATCGACAGTTCACCACTTTCGAAGCAACTCTTTAGCTCTTTTGAGTCTATTTTCTAATGTTTCTGTTGCGGTGTAAGTTCTCGCACTTTTTGGCTCGGGGTAAGTTCTTTTTTCAATATTTGCCGAATGGAATATTGCGATATGTTCAGCTCACGAGCCATTTTTCGGGCACTACGACGCGGATTTCGATCAAGTTTCTTCTTTACTTTTCGAACCATTTCAGCTGATGTTGCTGTTTTCTTCTGTCCACTTCCTTGACGTCGAGCTACGCTACTAATATCACGGTAACGAGCGATGGTACGAGACACAAAAAGTTTATTCACACTTAAATTCTGGAGTGCTCTAACGATAGCCACTTGTGGTTTTCCAGCCAAATATAAAGAAATCACACCATCACACTCGAATCCCATCACCAATAACTATTTTTCTGGAAACTTCTCACCAAAATGCTTTTGTACGCCTGTAAGCAATATAATGAGCTTTCGGACGAGTAGCTTAGAAATGACAGCAGCCGAAGTTGGTTGTAGTTTTTTCATCTCACCCTGTATAATTGCTCCTGAGACTTTTTATACCCTCCACCCTATGGAGGGTAAATTAAGTTCGTTACTCCGTTTGTAACTCATCGAAATCATAACTTAAGATTATATATATATTCTGATGAATATAGGAATCAAAAATTTTGCACAGATCTGTCTTTTTGACGATATATGACGGTACCCCCAGATATTTGGTATTTTGATGATTTTAGGCACATTTTTCAACGGAATTGTCTGAAATTCTACAGAAGGAGTTCCTTTTGAGTACTTTATCCTTTGGAAGAGAATTATCTATATAGGTCGACGATCAGCCCCTATATAGCGGTATCCCCCGATATTCGTTATTTTGATGATTTTAGCCACATTTTCCAATGAAATTGACTGAAATTCTACACAAGGAGTTCTTTATGAGCACTTAACCCACTGAAAGAGAATTTTCTATATAGGTCCACAATATCCTAATCCCCCATATAACGGCATCTTCAGACATTCGGTATTTTTAAGACTTTAAAAAAATTTTAATGGATTTTTTTTTTTTTGGAAAATTTTCTAATTCGTTCCAAATGGTGAAGGGTATTCAAAGTTCGGCCCGGCTTAACCTGCTTTTTTCAATTGTTTATTATTATTTTTTTCAAGCGGTTACAAAGATATTGACTCAATCGTCCATACCCATTATTTGTAGGACACGACAAGAGAACACGCATTAATACATTATACATATATACATGCCTTCATACATACATACGTCCATTGCTATGGAATGCTCTACTGCATTTCATCAGCATGCACAGAACCTTCCACACTCTTCGAGATACTACCACAACAGCGGAGAGATTTCCCATTGCAGATTGAGCAGGCAGGCAGGCAGCTTGGCCAAGAGAGCGCGCTAGTATAAATAGCAGTCGTCGCTGCACTGGGTCTTCAGTGAATTACAAGAAAGCAACGAGAAAACAAATAAAGAAGCGGAAGTAAAAGTAAAACTTTTTCAAATAAAAAGTGTTTTGAAGAAAGAAAGTAATTTTCAAACAAAAACAAAAGAGAAACAAGACTACTTACAAGAGATAAACAAAAAACAGACAACATGGTAGCAATTGGTATTGACTTGGGTACAACCTACTCCTGCGTTGGTGTCTTCCAACATGGCAAAGTGGAAATCATTGCCAATGACCAGGGCAATCGCACAACACCCAGCTATGTGGCCTTCACCGATTCGGAGCGTTTGATTGGAGACGCGGCCAAAAATCAGGTGGCCATGAATCCCAGCAACACAGTGTTCGATGCAAAGCGTTTGATTGGTCGTAAATTTGAAGACCCTAAAATCCAGGCGGACATGAAACATTGGCCCTTCAAGGTGGTCAATGAATGCGGCAAGCCAAAGATCAGTGTAGAATTTAAGGGTGAACAGAAACGCTTTGCTCCCGAAGAGATCAGCTCAATGGTGTTGACCAAAATGAAGGAAACAGCTGAGGCTTTTTTGGGCACCAGCTTACGAGATGCCGTCATCACAGTGCCAGCATATTTCAATGATTCCCAGAGACAGGCCACCAAAGATGCTGGTGCCATTGCCGGATTGAATGTCCTGAGGATTATCAATGAACCCACAGCTGCCGCCCTGGCCTATGGTTTGGATAAGAATCTGAAAGGAGAACGCAATGTATTGATCTTCGATTTGGGTGGTGGTACCTTCGATGTCTCCATTCTGACCATTGATGAGGGTTCCTTGTTTGAGGTACGAGCCACAGCCGGTGATACCCATTTGGGTGGTGAAGATTTTGATAATCGTCTCGTTAGCCATTTCGCCGAGGAATTCAAGAGAAAATACAAAAAGGATTTGACCAAAAATCCAAGAGCTTTGAGGCGTCTACGTTCAGCAGCAGAGCGGGCCAAACGCACTCTGTCGTCCAGCACTGAGGCCACCATTGAAATTGATGCCTTGTTTGAGGGCATTGATTTCTATACGAAAATCAGTCGTGCCCGTTTTGAGGAATTGTGTTCAGATCTGTTCCGTAGCACTTTGCAGCCCGTGGAAAAGGCTCTCAACGACGCTAAAATGGATAAGAATCAAATCCATGACATTGTCCTGGTGGGTGGTTCGACACGCATACCAAAGGTCCAGAATTTGCTGCAACAATTCTTCTGTGGCAAGTCATTGAATTTGTCAATTAATCCGGATGAGGCAGTGGCCTATGGTGCTGCCATTCAGGCTGCCATATTGAGTGGTGACAAAAGCAGTGCCATACAAGATGTGTTGCTGGTAGATGTGGCTCCTCTTTCGTTGGGCATTGAGACGGCTGGTGGTGTCATGACGAAGTTAATTGAACGTAACTCCCGCATACCCTGCAAACAGACAAAGACATTTACCACCTATGCCGATAACCAACCGGCTGTAACAATCCAGGTCTTTGAGGGTGAACGTGCCATGACCAAGGACAACAATCTTTTAGGTACTTTTAATCTGACCGGTATTCCTCCGGCTCCACGTGGAGTGCCCAAAGTAGATGTTACCTTTGACTTGGACGCTAATGGTATTTTAAACGTCACCGCCAAGGAGATGAGCACTGGAAATGCCAAGAATATTGTCATCAAGAACGACAAGGGACGCCTGTCACAAGCCGAAATAGATCGCATGCTACACGAGGCCGAACAGTATGCCGAGGAAGATGAAAAACATCGTCAACGCATTGAATCCCGCAATAAATTGGAAACCTATGTGTTCAGTGTCAAGCAGACCCTTGAGGATGCTGGCAGTAAAATTCCGGAATCCGATAAGGATCGTCTGATGGCCAAGTGTAAGGAAACCATACAATGGCTCGACAATAATACCACAGCCGAAAAGGAGGAATTCGACTATAAAATGGAAGAGCTGTCGAGAATCTGTTCACCCGTCATGACGCGTATGCATCAACAGGCAAATGGTGGTGGTAGTGGTCCAGCTGGTGCGAATTGTGGCCAACAAGGCAATGGTTATGGTGGAGGCTACACTGGTCCCACGGTGGAGGAAGTAGATTGAATAGAAACTCTATTGTAAAAAGTTCCCTTAAATTATTTCATTTGAGCTGTGATTTGATTTGTTAAACAAATTTTCAAAATTTCCAAAGAGCAATAAAATGTAGAAAGACATTTATATAAGACTGTTTCGTTTTAAGAAATTTTAATTTAGTAATACTTTAAACTTTTTTGTTAAAAAATATTTATTTAAATAAAATATATTATTTTTGTGTACAAAAATAAAATAAACTTTGCCTTTTGGTTTTTGGAATGGGGAAAACCCTTTTTGATAGGTGAAAGGCCATGGAGCCATGATAATTGCCACAAAAAATCAAAATTTAATCCTTGGTTGACTGGAATCGGATTGTAGGTCCGAAGGACATCAATGTATTGGTAACTACCATTGACGTATTGGTTCTACAACAATTTATTATTGGCATACCAGCCAGCATTTTTTTAATCTTGAATTTAATTCGATTAAAAGGATGGAAAATGAGCTGATCCTGCCAAAACACATATAAATCTTCCTCTATATTAATTTAGAGTAATAATATCTAAAGTCATGTGCGTAAGTTCTCTCAATTTGTGACTCTTTTATTTTAAGTCAGGTTTATGATCTTTTACGAGTCATAAGGGAGGGACTACATTTAATCAAATAGATTTGATATGCCATTCTCTCATGTCATTCTTTTAAAAGAGAAAAACCTAATTTTAACAAGTAAAAACAGCTAATCTTCCAAGTAAAAGCAGCTACCCTCCACCATTCGGAAGGAACTTGATAATTAAAAAAAAAATCCGTAGAAAAATACCTTTCAAATAAAAATCTTTATATGGGGGTTATACGAAGATGTGGTGCCGGATAAGTAATTTTTTGTCATAGGCATTAATAACGTTTCTGAACTTCAAAAACGAAATTCGAAACAATATACCGAATAAAGTGAGGTACCGTTATATGGGGGCTATACTAAGACGTGGGCCTGCAGGGAAAATTTTCCGTCATAGGTTGCAGTAGCGAAAATCCTGGAAATACCGAATAATCGCGGAGTAGCGGAGTATACTTAAACGTAGACCTTTATACAGGGTGAGATAAAGAAAACTGCAACAAAGTCAAACGCCATAATTTTTACATTTTTTTTTTTAATTTTTTTGAATGATAGCAAAAAATGTTAGATTTGTTAAAATTTGTCACCTTTGACACGAATTATGGCCTTTAAACGGCCAAAGAAACAGTCACACGCTGTCCGAATGTTGCTGTGCAGTATTTTGGCACATTTCCGGCGAAGCGCCTGCTTAAGGTGATCGACACTTTGGTATTTTTTAGTGCCAACCTTGCTTTCCAAAATACTCCAGTGGTCATTGTGCGCTGCAAATGAAGCGAGGAACATCATTTTGTAAGCATTCTTGGGTGGCGCGTGCTGAGTGCGATGGTCCTGAGTCCTGTTCGAATGTCCAAAGTCTGTGGCCAAAATGTTTGCGTGCCCAAGGCTTTAATACACCCTATAGAATATATTCGCCATAATATTCGGCATTTATTCCGATGCCACAGTCGATTAATATGAGCGGAGAACGACCATCGGTTGTTATGGCGGCCCACACAATCACCATGGCCGCCGCTTGAGTTTTGGTGGCCAACCGAAGATGCACATTTTCAGCTGACCTCTTTGGCAAGTAAACACGATCATTTTGTTTGTTTACAAAGTGCTGGACAACGAATGTTTTCTCATCGGAGAAAACCAAATTCGGCCGTTCACCACTTTCGGCCAAGCGAAGCAATTCCTTAGCTCTTTTGAGTCTATTTTCTTTCTGTTGCGGTGTAAGTTTTACAATTTCAATGGCTTTACCCCGAACTCATTTTTCAATATTTGCCGAATGGAATATTGCGATATGTTCAGTTAACGAGCAATTTTTTTAGCCATTGCGACGCGGGTTTCGATCAAGTCGCTTTTTTACTTTCGAATCATTTCTGTTGATGTTGCTGTTTTCTTCCGTCCCCTTCCTTGACGTCGGCTACGCTACCAGTATCGCGGTAACGAGCAAAAGATTTATTCACATTTAAATGCTGGAGTGCTTTTTTTTACAGGCAAATATAAAAAAATCACACTATCACGCTTGAATTCCATCTCGAATAACTTTTTTCTAGAAAATTCTCACGAAAATACTTTTGTACGCTTGTGAACAATATAATGACCTGTCATTGGAATAATTTTAACAGCTGTCGAGTGAGTTTAGAAATGACAGCAATCTGAAGTTTGTTGTATTTTTTTCATATCACCCTGTAGATGTATGTGGATCTATATAGACAATTCTCTTACAGGGGGTTAAGTACTCACAGAGAACTCCTTGTGTAGAATTTCAGACGATTCGATTAAAAAATGTGGCTAAAGTCATCCAAATACCGAATATCGGGAGGTACAGTTATATGGGGGATATACGACATCGTGGACCTATATAGACAATTCTTTTTCAAGTAGTTATGATGAACTCCATGTGTAGAATTTTAGACAATTCCATTGAAGAATGATGTTAAAATCATCAAAATGCCGAATATCGGAGGTACCGTTATATGGGAGCTATACGATATCGTTGATCGATATATCCCATGTTCTAACTTGACCTGCCTGATAGATCAGTACAAAATTTTACGTACCTATCTTTATTCGTTTTGACTCTAGCGTGATTACAACAGGCGGACAGACAGGGCTAAATCGTCTTTTTTACGCTGATCAGAAATATATATACTTCGTTGGGTCTAAAATTATTATTTCGATGAGTTACAAACGGAATGACGAAATTAATATGCACTCCATACTATATATGGTGGAGGGTATTAAAAGTACTCAATTATATTTTATTGTGGAAGTTCTTAAAAAACCGTACACAGTTTAACCATGCCTTAAGCTAAGACAATATGTGATCCGAGTGGAGGGTAACTCAAATTCTTTCATTCTGATTATGACAGAGTATTTAACAAAAGTTCTACCGACGCTGCGTTGACAATCATTTTGGAATACAGAGCTTTTCTATACCTAAATTTAGCTGCCATATTGAACATCTCGATTGAGATGCAATTTTCCAATCAACATTTGTTTGGCCCAAGGACTAACCCTATTGAAATTGGTGAGAATCGGTTCAAATTTAGATATAGCTTCTATATATATCTTCAACCGATTTCGGGTTAATTGTGCACCAAAATGGCCAATATCAGTCCAAATAACCTGAATTTTGGCATATCCGACATAATACAGTCTAGAAGTAAGTACATCAAATTTGGCTTCAGATATAGCTATAGCCCCACATATTGGATTCGCCACGTCAGGATAATTGGGGGACCAAGTATATAAGGGGAATAAAAACACAATATGAAATAGAACATCTTTCCTTTATTTTGTATTAAAATTTGATCACATTTTCGAGATAACATTTGGTCAGATCCAGAATTACAAGAATTAAAAACATTTTTACTAGGTTAAAAGACTTTCCCTCTATGATATCGAAAAAAATTGCAAAAATAGTAGATTCTTGCAGGTTCTGGAATAGAGCATTTATCAGCACCAAAAGGTGGTTGGTGTCTTCCACTTATCATTTCGAAAGACCCTCCTTCTCGGCCCATTCGTTCCAAGAGCCCAAATAGTTTTTGGCATTTTCATAGCCCAATTTTTTGGCAGTTTCCGCCGCTTTTTGTGATCTTTTGCCACTACGGCAATGGAAAATTACTTCAGTCGCCTTGCTTGGAAAATCACGTCCATATTTTGTTTTAAAAGCGCCGGCATCAACGGTATCGGCCAATGCCGTGGCCACCTGATCCAGTGGTATATTGATGGAGGTGGGAATTCGGCCAGTTTCTTGAAGCTCCTCCGGTTCCCGCACATCGATGAGTAATTTATTGGGATATTTAGTTAATTGTTTGATTTCTTCATATCCGACAATGGGTATGGAGTTGATGCTAGTTTTGGTACAATACTGTTTATTAAAATTGATTCGTGTGATGGCAGTTGTGTTGTTGTATGCTGACGAGGTATGCGTGGCAAGTTTTGTTGGAAAGTTGTAAATAACAGCTCCATCTCCAAGGCGAGGAGTTTTTAAATGCTTGGCAAATGCTAAAAGTCTTCTGGACATGCTGTTTTTCTTCTGCAGGAAACAATAAAAGCCAGTGTTTTTTTACAAAGAAAAAAATGAAACCTACTTGTTTACGTTCTGCGGATATGATGATATGATGCGCCAGCTGTTTATTGGCATAAATCAGCTGACATAAAACTTTCTATTGCGGGGGCGGTGTACTATCTAGCTGGCCGTTACTATTCCGTAACACGTATTGCTAAGTTAAAAAGAATTAAGCATGACACGTTAATACCCTACACCACATAGTGGTAAGGGTATTATGTCTTTTGTACAAATAAATGTAACATGGATAAGGAAACGAGTTATATCCATAGTTACTTTTGAGGATCTTCATAGAATCACTTTCTGAGTCGATATATGCATGTCAGTCGGTCTGTCCGCCCGTCCATGTATTTTTGTGAACACAGTGCAGGTCGCATTTATCATCCGATTGAGACGCAACTTTTCAAACAATATTTGTTTGGCACAAGGACGAACCTTATTGAAATTGATGAGAATCGGTTCAAATTTAGTTATAGCTTCCTTATATATCTTCAACCGATTTCGGGTTAATTGTGCACCAAACGGCCAATATCAGTACCAAATAACCTATGTAGCTCAAAAAATACTTGTCTCAAATTTTATCGATATCGGATCAGATTAGGGTATAGCTCCCATATGTATCTTTATCCGATTTCAGATTTCTTGCGCACCAAATGGCTAATATCATTCCAAATGACCTGAATTCTGGCATATCTGACCTAATTCAATATAGAAGCAAGTACATTAAATTTGGAGATAATCGCTTCAGATATAGCTATAGCTCCCAAGTATATGTTTGATCCGATTTGGCATTTAAAGTTCCTCACATTCGTAATATGTATTCGACAACAATGACATTTGATACCAGTTATCAGATACAGCCCAGAAATACGTGTGCCAAGTTTTATCAAGATCAGTTCAGATTTGGTTATAGGTCCCCTATATTTCTTCAACCGATTTCGGGTAAATTGTGCACCAAAAATGCTAATATCAGTTCAAATGACCTGAATTTTGACATATCCGACCTAATTCAGTCTAGGAGCAAGTACATCAAATTTGGAGAAAATCGCTTCAGATATAGCTATAGCTTCCAAATATTTGTTTCATACAATTTATGGTTTTAAGTCCCTCACATGCCTAATATGTTCTCCACAAGAATGATATTTGGTACCAGATAACATATGGAGCTCAAAAATACCTGTCTCAAATCTTATCGAGATCGGATCAGATTAGGATATGGCTCCCATATATATCTTTATCCGATTTCAGGTTACAGGGTGAGATGAAAAAACTGCAACCAACTTCAGACTGTTGTTATTTCTAAGCCACTCATCCGACAGCTTTCCAGTGAAAGCTCATTTTATTGTTTACAAGCAGAGAAAAGCATTTTGGTCAGATTTTTCCAGAAATTTCGTTATATTTGCCTGGAAAATTACAAGTGGTCATCGTTAGAGCACTCCAGCATTTAAATATGAATAAATCTTTTGTGTCCCGTACAATCGCTCGTAACCGCGATAGTGGTAGCGTAGCCGACGTCAAGGAAGTGGACGGAAAAAAAAACAGCAACATCAGCAAGATTGGTTCGAAAAGTAAAGAAGCGACTTGATCGCGGGTCTAGCGTCGCAGTGGCCGAAAAATGGCTTGTGAGCTGAACATATCGCAATATTCCGTTCGGTAAATATTGAAAAATGAGCTCGGGGTAAAGCCACTGAAATTTTAAAAAGTGCAAGAACTTACAACGCAGCTAAAGACTTGCTTCGCTTTGCCAAAAGTGGTGGTGGTGGCCGAATTTGGTTTTCTCCGATGAGAAAACATTCGTTTTCCAGCAGTTTGTAAACAAAAAAAATGATCGTGTTTACTTGCCAAAGAGGTCAGCTAAAAATGGGCACCTTTGGTTGACCACCAGAACTCAAGCGCCGGCCATGGTGATGGCGGCCAATAACAGCCGATGGTCGCTCTGCGATCGTATTAATCGATCGTGACATCAGAATAAATACGGAATATTATCGCGAAAATATTCTGGAGGGTGTATGGTGGTGCCTTGGGCACGCAAACATTTTGGCCGCAGACCTTGGATATTCTAACAGAACTCATTACCATCGCACTCAGCACGCGACACTCAAGAATGGTTGCAAAATGAGGTTCCTCGCTTCATTTCCAGCGCACAATGGCCACAAAAATCTCCGGATACCAATCCGTTTGACTATTGTGTCTAAAAAAATTTGATGTTATTTCCGACATTTTTTGCTTTCACTCAATAAAATTTAAAAAAAAATGTAAAAATTATGGCGTTTGACTTTATTGCAGTTTTTTATCTCACCCTGTATATTTTTTACTACCAGAGTAAAACCATGCCATCCAAAATTTATTATAGAGCAGCAAATAAGTCATTTTCATAGACGGAATTAGATTCGCCTTTATATATAAATGCGACTTTGTCTTCATAGACGCCCTTAGTGTCGTCTTTTTGGACGTTTATAGTCGTCTTTATAGGCAAACTTAAAGTCCTAGGATCGTATTTATAGAAGTATTTGAACTCATGTTCGATGAGAATTTAGAATTGACAATAAGGTCGTCTTAATATACTCTCTTAAAATCGTGGTCTTTACAATCTTCTTCATATCCGAACTTTATCATCGGTTTACTTTTATATTCTGAACACATTTTTTATTACAATAATCGAGATTTGCTCTAAGATACAGTTTAAAAATAAAAACACAATATTCCAACTTTAATTTACATTCAATTTTGATTCTCTACTTTGGTAATCCCTCCTTCTCGGCCCATTCCGTCCAGGAGCCCAAATAATTTTTACTCTTTTCAAAACCTAATTTATAGGCAATTTCTGCTGCATTCTGGGAACGTCTGCCGATTTTACAATGGAATATAATCTCAGTATTCTTTGTGGGAAAATCTCGACCATATTTTGCTTTGAAAGCGCCAGCATCTACATTGTCCGCTAATTCTGTGGCCACTTGACCCAATGGTATGTTAATGGAAGTGGGAATTTGTCCAGTCTCTTGCAGCTCCTTGGGTTCTCGCACATCAATCAAGAGTTTTTCGGGTTGCTTGGGCAATTGTTTAATTTCCTCATAGGAAACAACTGGGATGTTGATTGGGTTGGAACAAAAATGCTTGGCAAATGTTATGGGAGTTACGTTATTTGCCAAGGGTCGGGTTTCGACAATTTTTGCTACGGCTCCATAACGCAAAGCGTTTAGATTTCTCAGCAAGACAAAAGTTCGGCTCAACATTTTTCTGGAATTCTGCGTTATTAAGTTATTTGTTTAATAAATAAATTAAATAAATAAAGTTATGCAATTAACAACAAAATAAGATAACAGCTGGACTAACCGGCAAATCAGTTGATTGAAGCAGCTGTGAGCTTGCTGATAAAAAAAACAGCAGTGGAAAAGTACCCGACTACCTAAATACGGCGTACAAAAAGAAGCAGCAGAAGTGTTGCATTGACGTCAGTCAAAAAATGTTTCAACTGGTGAATTATTTTGAAAAAATTTATTTGAAGACCACCAGAAAATCTTCTATCCATAGAGGCTTCTCTTTATGAAATGCCTCAAGGAGGACTTGTACATCGAGAAGACAACACGGATGCCCTATACCATTAGAGGACATATGGGAGAACTTCTACATATAGAAGACTTTTGGAAGGCTTTTTAAATAAAGATGAGAAGCATCTTATAATAGAATACTTCTAAGGGTCATTCTGTTCTCTAGGAAACCTTCTGGCTACAGAAGACTCCTTGGCGCCTTCTAATCGTAAAGGATTTCTAGGAGGCCTTCTGTCTATATAAGACCTCTAGAAGGTCTCCTGTCTATAGAAGACCTTCTGTTCTATTGAATCGCGTAATATAAGCCTTCTTCTATAAAAGGCATTTTAAGGTCTCCAAACCTTCGGTCCGTACAATTTTATTTTTATGTTAGACCCCTTGGAGGTTACCTGTTTTTATACCCTCCACCTTAGTATGGAGGGTATATTAAGTTTGTCATTCCGTTTGTAACGACTCTTGATCAACATAAAATTCTATGTCGATTTAACGATGTCCGTCCGCCTGTTCATCTGTGGAAATCACTCTAGCTTCCGAACGAATTGAAGTAGATTGATAAAATGTATGTTATGTCTGCAGGACTTCTGGAATTGAAAATGGACTATGTAGGTTCACGTTTCGGTATAGCCCCCATATAACGGTACCCCCCAGATATTCCGTCTTTTGATGATTTTAGCGACATTATTCATCGGAATTGTTTCAAATTTGGTATTTTAAGTTCTCAATGGATACTACAGCCTAAGGCAGAAAATTGTCTGTGCAGGTCCACGTTTTCGTATAGCGCCCATATAACGGTACATCCCAATATTCGGTATTTTGATGATTTTAGCGACATTATTCGCCGGAATTGTTCTAAATTTGGTATATGATGTTCGTAATGGGTGTTACAGCCTATGACAGAAAATTGTCTGTGCAGGTCCACGTCTTCGTATAGCCACCATATAATGGTACCTCCCAATATTCGGTATTTTGTTGATTTTAGCTACATTATTCAGCGGATTTGTTCTAAATTTGGTATTTGAAGTTCGTAATGGGTTTTACAGCATATGGCAGAAAATTATTTGTGCAGGTCCACGTCTTCGTTAAGCCCCCATATAACGGTACCTCCCAATATTCGGTATTTTGATGATTTTAGCTACATTAATCACCGATTTTTTTAAGTTTCGTAGTTATAACAGCTACGTTCGGTATTTTTAAGATTTTAAAAGAATTTTTAACAGATTTTATTGTTTTTGAGAATTGTCAAACTCGTTCCAATTGGTGGATGGTATTCAAAGTTCTACCCAGCCGAATTTGCAGCTTTTTTTCTTTTTTAATATAATATTTCCTCGCTTTCCTCTTATAAAGAGACTTTATTCTGATTGGTTTTTCCTTCTTTTCTCAATGAATTTCACATTCATATTTACACTCAACAAGTTATATTCTATATTTCATATATATAGGTGAACACATTGCCTCACAGCTCCATAACTTCGCCGCCCACTGACTCTTTACCCTGGGCCTGCCGCTCCAGCTTATCCTTGGCCACACTTTCCAATTGTTCTTTCGTCAGCAGCGATATACCCAATTGATCTTCACGTGTAAATGGCTGAGCCATACGCTTAAGCCAACGGCGTGCCAACTGCATTGCCTCCTCGGTACTAAGGTTACAAAAACTATCCACCAAATGTTCCTGTATCCATTTCGGTAGACGGCTACGTTTGTCTTGGCGTGAAAAACGCTTATCGGCAAATATCATAATACCATAGTCGGTTTTTCCTCTCAGGGCACGGCCAACACACTGGGCAGCATGACGCATAGCATCGAAGGTGAGAAAATCATTTTCTCTTATTTGAAATTGATCGCGCAGATAGTCGAGACGGGCCTTAAGGATGCGTGATTGGGTAAAGACATAGGGAATGCCAAACATAAGTACCGCCCGACCATAATGATGATCGAAATCCACACCTTCGGAGACTTTGCCACGGGCCACGGCAAGCAGTACAGCTCCTCGTCCACAGTCACAGGCCTAAAATAAAAAAATCGCAATAAAAAACAAATAACGATAATTTCCTCCTCCCTACCTTAACATAATTCATAAGGGCATAACTGGTCTCGGCATTATCCTGAGTCTCAATGAACAACAATTTGTAACGCAACAGCGTATCAACAATACCCTGATCATACCACGAGGCCACCACAGATTCCAAATATAAATATGAGGTGAAAAAGCACACAATACCATCGGGTACCGTTTTGGCCGTTTCAACCAACAGCTGTCCATAGTTACGTATAACAGCCGTATCTTCACGTGTCTCATATTTAGAAGATATTGCCACCTGATCGTTACCCTTTGAGACAATCATTGGCAGGAGACATGGCCGGGCCAGGGTCATGGTAAACGAACTCATTACCACTGGATCGAAATTTAAAATTTTCGGATACATATCCATGGGTGATAGGGTACCCGATGTTATGACCACCGACTGGAATCTTTGAAATACAGGGGCCATAGCAATGGATGAGTCCAAACAGCTAAAATGTAATATGGGATTTGCCACTGTGGGTGTTTTATCGTCGAATGGTTCTATGATAATTGTAAAACCTTTGGTATAGGTGCTAACCAAGGTGGCGAAATGGGTTATCTGGAAAAAAAAAGAATACAATTTTAATACAGTTTTTGGGATGCGTACAAATCACCTTACCAATGTCAAAGCTCCATATTCTGTCATATCAGTTATTTCCAAGGTCCTTAGCAGACTAGCCAAACGTTCGGCACAAAAACGCAGGGGCTTACGTTCTATACAAATTTTGGAAGCCACATCTTTGAGAAAACCCGCCGGAGACTCTTGTATCACATGGTGGACTTTTAAACGGGTCTTTATGTATTCAATGAAACGACGTAGGAAACTTAGGAAATGATCGGCATTACGTATGTTACCAGGAACAACCTCTGAAAAGAAAAAGAAAATTTGAGCAGATTATGGAATGTAGGCTGGCTTTACAGCAAAATGCATTACCTTTAAGAATATCATTTGGCAGAATTGGATTTGCCAAAATCATATCTGTATCCCTTTGTACACTGGCGTCCTTGAGGCCCTGGACCATGCGTTGGTATTCATCGTTTAAACGCTCAGCATTATCATCGCGAATGCTGAAAATGGCAAAGAAACATAAAAACTATATATGAAATTGCTCCCTGAATTTGTATCAAGTGCCAGCATATCTTTTTCTCAATAGTAATACTTTAAGATATCGGAAAAAATTCGAGCAAAACTTACTCCTGAACCAATTTTTGTAAATTATTCAATGCATTTGTACTTCGTTCTACGGTACGTCTGTTGATTTTAACACTCATGGAGTCGATACAAACATTATCGATGTTGTGGGCCTCATCGAAAACAATACAGCTTTCGCGTACCATTTCCTTGGATACAACTTCGGCAATTTTTGGATCCAACAAATAATGGTAACTGTAGACAACAATGTGGGCTTGGCCAATCTAATGGAATACAAAAATAAAATATTATGAAATTAATTAATACAAAAATCCCAATTACCCACCGCATATCTTGCCAAAAAGTACGGACACCAGTTGCGCATGCGTCCAAACTCCTTGAGGTCATCCAAACTGTAGATGCCAACCGGCAACGATGACTCCTTGCCTTCCATGGAAAATCCCTCAAAATATTGACAAATCGGTGTCTCGCCATCGTGTTCATGCCGTTCGCGGACATAGCTAGCCGTTAGGCCATAACATTTACCATCTACCGATTTACCTTCACGTTCCTTGCTCACGTCCGGATGAATGCACATATTCTTACGTGAACTTAGCACTAAGCCCACCAACGGAGGGGGTTCGGGAGCATTTTTCTCATAGTAAACCATTAAATTTTGTAACTCAGCAATGACTTTTTCAATTTCGGGTACCGTACGTGAACAGTAAATAAGTTTCCTGATGGTCTCCGGCCGCTCAATCATGTAGGCCACAATCAGTGATAGTAGGGTCGCTGTTTTGCCCGTTCCCGAAGGCATTTCCAGCAGGCAATGGCCCTTGGCATCCAAGGTGCGTTTGAGCTCCAACATATAGGCATATTGTTCGGGATAGATATACTCGTAGGGAAAATACACCAAGAGGCCGTCAACACTGATTCTGTTCGACGGAAAGTAGGAAATAGAGAAATATATTTATTACTTTTCGTTTTATTTAAATGTTTTTATAAATAAAACATACTTCATATTTTCTGTTCCTGAAGCTGGCTCTTTGCCGGCATTAAACGTTGTTTACAACTGCAACTGTCACATTGGGCAAGGGATATGTAGATCGATATTTGTAAGTGTTGCCAACGCATGTACTGGTAGGAGTCACAACCTAAGCAAAAAAGCGAAATTGATATAGAAATCTAAGTAAAAACAGATTTATTTTTAAAAAAGTCGCAGATTTAATTTGACAATAATCCCAAAGAAGTAAAGACAATGTGACCAAATGCGAGTAGACAGAATATGGGAAACTTGCCCAACAATTTGCTACGTCAATGCATTGTACAATAAGGTGGGTCATAGAAATCACATGAAAAAATTGTGCATGGCAATGCCAAAATACTTAACTAGATTTTGTATGTGTATGCATAATGCAATAATTACAAGATAGAGCAGATTGATTAAATGTGGTAATAACACACTTGACCTTGTAACCTCAATTTTACTAATAACAAATGCAATAAGTTGTTCTGTTTATTGACGCTCGTTTCATTAAATAAACAATATTGTGAGAAAGGTGTAAAAAATAAACAGCTAGATAAATTTGTTATTAGAAAATTTGCAGTTACAAAACTCTAGGTCAAAGTTTGTATTTTTCACATTTAATAGAAAAGCCCTACCTTGTAATTATTGAATCATGATACAAAATTTGAACATGGAAGATGCAAAGAGTAGTGGTGGTCCTTTTAATAATTTGTAAAAACTATTTACTCCAGACACAATAGTCCAACGCATTGGAGATTTTGGTGGCCATTGTGCGCTGGAAATGAAGCGAGGAACCTTATTTTGTTCTTGCACTTTTTGGAACTTCAATGGCTTTATCCCGAGCTCATTTTTCAATATTTGCCGAATAGAATATTCCGATATGTTCAGCTCATGAGCCATTTTTCGGTCATTGCAACGCGGGTTTCGATCAAGTCGCTTCTTTACTTTTCGAACCATTTCTGCTGATGTTCACTTCCTTGACGTCGGTCTACGCTACCAGTATCGCGGTGACGAGCGATTGTACGAGAAACAAAAAATTTATTCTTTTAAGATCTATTCTTGAATTCCATCACGAATAACTTTTTTTCTAGAACATTCTCACCAAAATGCTTTTGTACGCTTGTAAACAATATAATAGGTGTGTCTGGTTACTTTCCCTGCAAGAATTGTCCAGCAACATCTTTCTGAGAGAGTAAGGTAGTTTTATTCTCTTTTGCAAGGAAAATGCGAAAAGTAAACAGACGGTATTCCTGCAGAAGCTTGCAGCTAATCAGCTGATTTGTCAAAACAAACCAATTTGCCCCCCTTTAAAATAATTAAACGAAAGGAACCACCACCAATTTCACAAGTTTTATAAATAAAAGGGAAATTGACAATAAAATAAAAATATGAGCAATAAAAGGAAGATAGATTTGATGTGTTCCGCGGAATCATTTAAACCTGTTGCTAGTTGCATTTGTCTAAAAATGTTGGAAATAGTCTTTTATTTTTTATTATTACATATTAATATTTATGTTTTTCACATTTTGTAAAGTTGTTCTCCAAAAACTATTAGTCTTGCTAATTCCAAAAAATATTTTCAAATTGAAAGCACAAAAAGAAATAAACAAACAATAGAAAACATCTGATTGAATGTCGATGAATGAGAAGAAGAAGAGTTGCAAGAGATTGCAACATGATCCAAGTATAAGGTCCCCCTTCCAGCTCAGCTGATTACCAGACCATCTGTCAATTAAATTTGAATTCGCTGCAACAAAAACAAACTTCAAAACGATGGTAGAAGAATACAGGTAGTCGCATTGCATAGCTGCTGGGGCAATGAACTGTCAGACCAATTTTTAAGTTAAAAATTTAAAATGAAAAATTATTCAAAAAATTATTGCAATGCTTGGGAACATTAATATGTCAAAATTGTTAAAATGTTTTGTCAAAAATAAGTAGATTTTTATACGTTTTCTAATACGAGGTTGTTATGATATGCAATTTTTACAAATATCAACAATTTTTCGTTTAACATTTTTAATTTCAAATTCGGTTTGACGGTTCATTGTCCCAGCAGTTGCGTCGATGGCTCTACCTGTATTTTTGTACCATGTGTTATACATACAAAAAATGACAACAAACAAATTCGCCACAAAATTCTTCTGTCAAGGCGAAAATATTTATTTTCGCCTCAAGCATGAATTTTGACATTTCATCTGGTAAAATAACAGCTGTTTTTAGATTAATTCGCTCGAAGGAAGACCTTATAATTGGGCCATGGATTGCAAGAAGAAATTTGTCCAGCAAGAATTTGCAAACTCTCACTGAAAGAACTGTCAAAATTTCTCTCTCCAACCGCTCTCTCTTGCAGAACTTTCGGGTTAACAGACGACTTCCAGTAACAATTTGTAACAATTGTTACAAATTTTAGGGTAACCAGACACACCTAATGAGTTGTTACTGGAATAATTTTAACAGCTGTCGAACGAGTTGCATGGAAATGACAGCAGTCTGAATTTGGTTACAGTTTTTCGTTTCACCCTGTATATGATGGTAAGATTAAGAAGGTAAAATGATTTTACCTAGCATTCCCATTTCTGCATTTTTATACCCTCCACCATAGTATGGTATATTCTTGATCTGCATAAAATTCTATGTTGATATAGCGATGTCCGTTCGTCTGTGGAAATCACTCTAGCTTCCGAAAGAATTGCAGGAGATTGATAAAATTCGGCTCAAATGTATGTTATGTCTGCAGGACTTTTGGTATTGAAAATGGGCCATGTAGGTCCACGTTTTGTTATAGCCCCCATATAACGGTACCTCCCGATATTCGGTATTTTGATGATTTTAGCGACATTATTTAGCGGAACTCTTTCAAATTTGGTATTTGAAATTCGTAATGAATACTACAGCCTATGACAGAAAATTGTCTGTGCAGGTCCACGTCTTCGTAGAGCCCCCATATAACGGTACCTCCCAATATTCGGTATTTTAATGATTTTATGGAGATTTTTTGAAGTTCGTAATGGATACTACAGCCTATGACAGAAAATTGTCTGTGCAGGTCCACCTCTTCGTAAAGCCCCCATATAAGGGTACCTCCCGATATACGGTATTTTGATTTTATCGACATTATAACCGATTTTTTAAGTTTCGCATTTGAATATTGTAATGGATTTTGGAAAACAAATGGTATAGACCCTAATATAATATTCGGCATTTTTAAGATTTTAACAGAATTTTTAACGGATTTTATTGTTTTTTAAAATTGACAAATTCGTTCCAAATGGTGGAGGGTATTCAAAGTTTGGCCCGGCCGAACTTACAGCTTTTTTACTTGTTGTAATTTACCTTGTCAAATTTCACTGCATAGAAAGCAGGATCTTATCTCTGATTTGTGTATGTACAATGGATTTATAAACATCCATTTTGACAATCAGATGTTGTCAAATGAATAATTTTGAAAAATTGTAAACATATGATTGCATGACTTTATTCCATATATCCATCCATGAATCCATCGCATTTCAAGGAAGTCAAATTTGATAAGGTAGATTACAGAAAATGCAGGGATATCCATACCCATTCCACTCCATTCCATTACATTGTAAATACACATATAAGAGATGGAAAAGAATTTTTTTATGCAGTAAAATTTGACATGTTAAATTACAGAAAATGCAGAGATGGTTATGCTTATTTGTAATGGCTTTACCTTCTTCATTCTACCATGGCCACTCCTTAACAGTAATTTCTGAAGAAAAAAAACGGAAAAGTGCGACCTAATCCAAATACGGCTGACATTTTTTGTTCCCCTTCCAAAATGCCACAAATAAAAACTATACCAGAGACTAAAACCACAAATTATACGATGGGAAAGTCGATTTTCTACCTATCTCCAATATAAAGTGAATTCCAAAACAAAAACAATTGTAACTTTCTTAGATAATTATTCATTATTTCTTAAGGTTATACATTTTATAATACGGTTATAGGATTTTTTTTTAATTTCAAACAGTTAAATTTCCCATTGTACATTACCCGTATCAGCCCTTTTTGTCAACCAAACCGGAAATTATCTTCCAATATCAATAAATTGCATGCCGGATGTTCTAATGTGAACCCTACCATATAAATTAATCTCTCACCTCTCGCATAGATAATTATTTTTATTAAATAAATTAAGTATATTGATCAAATTTTTAGTAAAAAAAATGTACACCTTTTATTGTGGCAATCCCTCATGTTTAGCCCAATCCAACCAAGATCCCTTGTAATTCATGATGTTGGTATAACCCAAAGCGACTGCAGTCTCAGCTGCCATTTGTGATCTTCTGCCCGAGCGACAATAGAAAACAATTGGACTATCCAAAGAGGGTTTCTCTCGCGAAAACTTCTGTTTAAATTCCTCTGCCGACGTCTGCTCTCCCAATACCTGTTTTACGGTGGCCAATGGTATATTAATACTTGTTGGAATTTGTCCTGTCTCTTGCAATTCCTGCGGTTCGCGTACATCAATTAATAGAATTTCAGGATGCAAATTTGGCAGATTCTTAACAAAATCATAGTCGACAATTTTTATATTTCCACTCATTTTCGGCGTATCTTTATGACTGTTGTCTGTTGACGATGTTAGACCCATTGCTGAGCTTTCTTCGCCGCCGCTTGTCAGTTGTTGACCACTTGTCGATGTAGAAAAAGATAAAGCCACGATCGCTGTGACGACAAAGGCAAATCGACACAAACTAAAATAGATAGAGAGAGTAGTTTTTGGGTTATTTTGTAAATGTTATTATTTTTTATTATTTATTTTTTGTTAACATGAAGTGGAATTTTCCTACCTCATATCTCTGTTAGCGGTATTTGTCTTTTGCAGAAAGTAAAGCGTCTCGACTGTACAAGAAGCTTGATGACACTAAACTTCTGTGGAGTACATACAAATTTTAAGCTGACATTGAAAACAAAGGTTTTGATTTACGAAATTACTTTAAAGCGCAGAAGACACAAAACTATACGAGGGCAGTGTCTTGAAATGCAAATTGTTGTTTGATAGGTTTGGGATTTACTGGACTCTTAGAAGCTAAGCTTAAAATTTCAGGTGAACTTTAATGTTTAAACATTGATGAATAATCTTCGTATTCTTCCAATGCTTGTGAAATAAAAACGTTATTAGTCAAAATAAAAAAGCGATATTTAAATTAAGCAAAGTAAATACAGGGTGAGACAAAAAAACTGCAACAATGTCAAAGCCATAATTTTTACTTTTTTTTTAAATTTTATTGAATGAAAGAAAAAATTGTCGAAAATAGTATCAAATTTAAGAATAAGTTTAGATTTGTTCGAATTGTTCACCTTTGGCACGAATTATGGCCTTCAAACGGCCAATGAAACCGTCTCACGCTGCCCGAATGCTGCTCTGCGGTATTTTAGCCCATTCCCGGCGAAGCGCCAACCTTGTTTTCCAAAATACTCTAGGCACAATAGTCCAACGGAGTGGTACCCAAGATTTTGGTGGCCATTGTGCGCTGGAAATGAAGCAAAGAACCACATATCTTAGTGGCGCGTACTGAGTCCTGTTAAAATAATGACATTTCGGGATTTTTAGCATCATCTTAATTGCAGATACTTAAAGAGGAAAAATAGCCTATTTTAAAATGCTCATAACTCCTTAAATATCGACATTTCGGGGTTTTTAGCATTATTTAAATTGCAGATATTTAAAGAGGAAAAATAACCTATTTTAAAATACTCATAACTCCTTAAATATTGACATTTTGGGGTTTTTAGCATCATTTTAGTTGCAGATATTTAAATAGGAAAAGTAGCCTATTTTAAAATGCTCATAACTCCTTAAATATTGACATTTCCGTGTTTTTAGCATCATTTTAATTGCAGATATTTAAAGAGGAAGAATAGCATATTTTAAAATGCTCATAACTCCTTAAATATTGACATTTCGGGGTTTTTAGCGTAATTTTAATTGCAGATATTTAAGAGGAGAAATAGCCTATTATAAAATTCTCATAACTCCTTAAATATTGACATTTCGGGGTTTTTAGCATCATTTTAATTGCAGATATTTAAAGAGGAAAAATAACCTATTTTAAAATGTCCATAACTCCTTAAATATTGACATTTCGAGGTTTTTAGCATCATTTTAGTTGCAGATATTTAAAGAGGAAAAATAACCAATTTTAAAATGCATATAACTCCTTAAATATTAACATTTCGGGGTTTTTAGCATCATTTTAGTTGCAGATATTTAAAGAGGAAAAATAACCTATTTTATAATGCTCATAACTCCTAAAATATTGACATTTCGTTGACATAATATCTCCTTAAATATTGACATTTCGGGGTTTTTTGCATATTTTTATTGCAGTTTTTTAAAGAAGAAATGAGATTGAAATTATATATACCACAGATTTCCAGATTTATTACTCATTATTACCTTAAGAATTCGGTCCGGAAATTAGTCTTAAATTCGTGTGGCTTTGCTTTCAACAAAAGAAAACAATTTTTAGCTGACAATTTTCACAAAAAAAAAAATTAAATAAATAAATTTGTCAACAAAGGACATATTTGAGAAAGTTTGTTGTGGAGATGGGCAATATCGGTCCACTGTTTCTGGTACTTCCTCCACAAGACGTCGATGTTTTGAAAAATAAAAAATATTTTACTGCACAAAAAGAGAAAGGATAATCCGATTTTGCTCCAAACCCAAATACCTCCCCCACAAAGGGTCAAAACTTTGAATATCCACGAAGCTCATAAAACATGAAATTAACATCCGATTCCATTCAGACTTGGCACATCTCAATATTTCTATCAACACAAGATCTGTTATAAAGATGGTAGAGATCGGATCATTCCTTCTGGTACCTCCCCTCGTAGGGTCAACGTTTTGAATGACCAAAACGATCACATATATCGGTACCTACCGATATTCGATATGTTGATGATTTTAGCCACATTTTTCAACGGAATTGTCTGAAATTCTGCACAAGGAGTTCTTTGTGAGTATTTTCCCCCAGAAACAGATTTGTCTACATAGGTTCACAGTATCCTCTATCACCCATATATCGGCACATTCCAATATTCGGTATTTTTAAGATTTTAACAGAATTTTTAAAAGATTTTATTTTTTTGAAAATTTCCTAATTCATTCCAAATAGTGGAGGGTGTTCAAAGTTCGGCCCGGCCGAACTTACTGCTTTTTTACTTGTTTTTCATAATTTTGAGTCTTAATTTTGCCGATATTTTCTGGTAACTCAAACAACGGTTAGAGAATTTCAGAACAAACTCGATAACTTTAGAAAGTAATGCACTTCACAATTCTTCAAACGCATAATCCTTGCAACTTATATGGGTGTAATTCTTGTAACTATACGCGCATATATATAAAAGAACCCGATTATCTTATAAAGTTACGTATACCAAGTTGTCGGCACTTGTTACATAAATCATAAAACACCTTGCCTCTCACAATAAATTGGGGTGTCAAAGATCAGATAGAAATTGCCTTTGAACGACATGGGTCATTGACATATTCTTCAACCACTAAAAATCCCGTTCTTGATTAGATTTCAAAAAAAAAAAAAAACCTTGACATTCACTACACAGACCCCCCATAGAAAATGTGGGACATTTCAAAATTTGTATTTATTTTGATCTGACTCTGTCTAATAATTGTCACAATTAACATTAATATTTGTGTACATATATGTACGTATACGACTTGAGTATGTTCCTACGTACATATGTATCAACAAATATTTAAACAAATTAATTGTACACATGTAGGTATATACACACAATGTCTGAAGAAATCTCTATGGAATTTTGAAAACATGTGGTGAAAGTACTACTACTGCCGCTCATTTCTTAATCAGTCTAATAATGGTAGGGTGGTGTCGTCGTCTCCTACTGATATGAATTAGACCACAGCAGACTTGCTGCCTTGCGGATGTTAGCCGGGAGAGACAGACAGAGTGAGAGAGAGAGAGCGTGTGAGATTGTAGTAAAATGGGTACACACTTGTAGGGAAGTTCAAAATTTGGTCAGATGTTTCGACGTCACAGCAGTGCCGATAGTATGGCGTGAGGTCTGATCAATTTAGGTCCGGGTTCACTTTTACTTGAAAGTAGGTACGCTACATTTGATTTGTTGCTCAATTTTTTTATTGTCTGTTCAAATCTAGTTTAAACAAATTATTAAAGACCATCCACACACACAAACACTCGCATTAAATGAAGATTTAATAAATTAGTTTTCTGTAAATATAAAACACTACATTTAATGTTCCTCCCCCCTGCCGGGTCTTGATAATAGATTCAGCGCCTTAACTTCATCATCGTGAACTCGTTTCTTTTCCTCCATCAAGCGGGCCTCTCGCACTGCCTTCTGCTTAGCTTCTTCCTTACGATTTTCGGCTTCGATTTCTGAAAGATTTCTTTGCCTCATTGCGCCATATCCAATGCCGGCTATTAGCATGGACCACCGGGCCAATTTTATTAAAGGTGAGACATTTACAGGAGCTTGGGACATTTTTCCTTTTTTTTTTTGGCAAATTTTAAATATTTCCTTAGATTTTGAAGTGAAATTTTTCAAAACTGATGACGTTAGTGACGATAAATTTTCAAATTTACTTCAAATAAGTAATCGAGTACCGAAAAGGTTTTATTCCGAGTCTTCATAAAAGCTTTGTTCCTGAATATTTTGTTTTACCTAGAAATATACAAGTCTTCTCTTTCAAAGGATTTAAATAATTTTTGCTACACCTATTTAGTCCCGTATCAAGATGCGTGCTCTAAAATTTCATGGCGCCTCAGTATGAAACTCATTTTTAGTTTGATGGGTACGAAAATAAGCAGAATTGTCGATTTGGTAATGATGATGATGGCACCGTACTTCTTTAAAAATACTGCGAATCGTAACGTAAGTGTTACGCCTTTGGTTTCCGCCCACAGTATTACGCGCCACATCCACACACATATTGCTCGAGGACTCAACCAGAACAGGTAGTTCCAAAGAATAGTAGTGGTGCCTCTCGACTTACCAAAGCCCTTTTAAATTGTCACCGGAACAAGAAGTCTAACCCTCGTAGAGTGTAACAGGGAGTTCCACAAGTTCGGCTGATATATTTTACCCCTACCTTTCCGGAATTCCACGGCTTCCAGGCGGCATTAAAATCGTAACATATGCGGATAACTGTACGACCATGGAATCAGGCCGTTGATGAAATATGTGCCAGGGTGAACACCAATCTCGCGGAGCTTGCTGCTTTCTTCCATGCGAGGAATATGAAAATTCCCGCTAATCGCAACGGCCACACTTTTTACTCATGGTCAACCGAGCTGAATGTGAAAGAGTCACATAATTCCGAACACTAAATACCCATTCGACAGCATGTTCAAGTCGTACGCGCAAGCCACAGCTATCTGTTAGAAAAGTAGGAACAAGGTCTTTAAGAAGCTAGCCTGTACCACATGGGAAAACCTTCTTGACATCTTATAAAGCGATTGGTCGGTATGAAGAATGCCGGCCGGGCTGAACTTTTAATACCCTCCACCCTTTGGAAGGAATTAAAAAAATTTTAACGAATTCTGAAAAATACCATATAAATGATGACCTTCATACGGAGGCTATAGAAACGTGGACCTGCAAAATTAATTATTTGTCATAGACTGTAGTACCCATTAAGATCTTCAAATACGAAATTTGAATCACTTTCGGCAAATAATGTCCCTAAAATCATCAAAATACCGAATATAGGGATGTACCGATATATGGGGACTATACGAAGACCTGGAGCTGTATAGACAATTTTCTGTCACAGATTGTAGTACCCATTAAGATCTTCAAATACGAAATTTGAAGCAATTACGGTGAATAATGTCGCTAAAATCGTCAAAATACCCAATAAATGGAGGGACCTTTATATGGGAGCTATACGAAAACGTGGATATGCATATTTTTTCTTACATAGGCTGTAGTACCCATTACAAACTTTGAATACGAAATTTGAAACAATTTGAGTAAATAATGTCGCTAAAATCATCAACATACTCAATAAAGGGAGGTACCGTTATATGGCAGCTATACGAAGACGTGGAGATGCGTAGTATTTTTTCTAGCATAGGCTGTAGTACCCATTACAAACTTCGAATTCGAAATTTGAAACAAATTGAGTAAATAATGTCGCTAAAATCATCAAAATACCGAATATCGGTAGGTACCGTTATATGTGGGCTATACGAAGACGTAGACCTCCATATACAATTTTCTGTCCTAGGTTGTAGCACCTAATACGAATTTCAAATATGAAATATGAAACAATTGTGGAGAATATTGTAACTAAAATCATCAAAATATAGGGAGGAACCGATATATGGGGACTATACGAAGACCTGCACCTGCATACGACAATTTTAGGCATAGGCTGTAGTACCCAGTTAGATCTTCAAATACGAAATTTGAAACAATTCCGATGAATGATGTCGCTAAAATCAACAGAATACCGAAAATCGGGAGGTACCGTTATATGGGGTCTATACGAAAACGTGGAACGATATGGCCCATTTACGAACTTAACTTAACTGCCTACTGGCAAAATACACATGTGTGCAACATTTTAGCCTTCTATCTCAATTCGTTCGAAAGATAGCGTGATTTCAACAGACAGGCAGACGGACGGTCCAACAGACACACAGACAGACGGACATCTCTAAATCGTCTTCGAAATTCACGCAGATCCAGAATATATACTTTGAGGGCTCTATCATGAATATTTTGAGGAGCTACAAACGGAATGACAAAGCTAATATACCCCCCATAGAATGGTGGAGGGTAAAAAAATTAGAGCTGCCAGAATGCCGTTCAACACTATTTCCCAAAACATTGAGTATTATGAAAGAATTTTATTTCAGATTAGAAACGCATAATATTAGCAGACAAAAACTGAAAAATATAATTTTCATTTTAATATATAAATTTCGAAATTAATTTTCTATAAAACTATTGTACCTAGATACATACTACATTTTGAAACTCATATTGAAATTTAATGAAGATTATTTGCTCTGCTGAACATTTTCGTCCAAAAACAAGTTTTATGTTACTTTTATGCCGAAACTCGAAAATAAGACCCAAGAAAAAACCATGACAAATTGAAAATATTTTCACTTTTTTTTTTTTTTTTGGCAAAATAAAAACAATTATTGTCTTGATATGTAAAGGATGTAAAAATTATTTTTCTTTGGTGACTTATAGCAAAATTTTGTTAAGAATATATTTGTCTTTGTCGTTAACCTGATGTTTGCGAGAGTTTTTTATAAACTCACACAACATACGACTATAACCCTATACTTTAATTTTTCTTGGCGTTTAGGTAAAGTTTACATGAGATATAGACTTTTGATGTATTCTGGGACCAATAGTAGAATTTCATCAGAAATAATTTTGTAGAATTCATTTTTGTGTAAAACACATCACAGCACGCACTTATGTGTGATGAAGTTGGGTGATCTGTTGGATGATAGACCAATTGGAAGATGGACCTAAGGAAATGGTTGGCAGTCAGTTTACAACTTTGTCAAACCCATAATTTTCCCCCAGGCGAATTCAGACTCGCTTTTCTAAAAATAATATAATTAAACTTGCTGTTAATTAATGGCTCAACAATTTCTGCCGTAAATTATTATTTTATATTGTACATTGTTTGCAGTCAGTATTTTGAATATAATTATATCAAGTGTCCGCCGTATAAGTATTTGGAAAAAAATAAAACGAGGAGTTATTTATGCTTCGTAAACAAACTTTATTTCAAAGTAATTTTCAAAATCTTATATATATTACAATAGCCTAAATATAACAATATGCAAGGTATTTTAAGTCTTAAAAAATAATACAAATTAAAAATAAGATATCGTTCAAAACTAATGCATACAAAATGTTCTCTATCATATTTAAATGAGCAGCAACTTTTTTAAACATTTGTAGCTAAACATAGCGTATACATTATGTATTTAAACAAATGAATATGGCTTCCAGTCTAAAGACTTGAAAGACCTTTAAAAAGGGGGGAGGAGGATATTATAAATTAATTACATAAATATTAAACATAAGTTATACTTAAAATAATTTGAAGGAAAAAAATGTTCTTATCTCACGAAGGCACAAAGTGCGGGTGGTGTGTGTGTGTTTTATGACCCATTATAACAATAAAACCAGTTGTAGTTTGGCTTTTTATCATTGTGGGAATTAGTTGAAATGTGAATAGAAAGAATTCCGTCAAACCAATTTATCAGAAGGCTTAAGATTTTTAAATCGCCTGGCGTATGACCAGTAAGTGAGTGAAGTGGTTTGACATAAATCAATTCAATTAAAAAAAAAAAAAATGGGGAACTTTTTTTCCGAACAATATATGCATGTGATTAGAATTAAGTAGTATTTTTTATGCGTTCGTTTTAAGAGGAATTTGGGTGGATGGCTTGATTACAAAATGTAAATTTTACTATTTTTAAGGACTTTGTACAGATTAGATATTTATGGAAAAATAAATAGTTTCTAATAAAGCTTCTTTAATATTTACATTGTTTAGTTTAAATTTTCAAACATTTATTTTCAAGCATCTATCTACTTTAAACTGAGTTCTGGGGGCTATATTATTCTTCTATGAAAATATGAAATTAAAAATATTTTTTCATATTTTCATAGAACAAACCCACTCTCTCTCTCTATCGCACAACAAACAAAGAACATTTCCACACAGGAAATAGCAATTTCAAAAAAAATCTTTTATACACATTCATTCCATTCAAAAAATAAATGGCCATAAAAAAATACCCACAAATACTATATATGGAACATACATAGTAGCCCATCATTGGCCATTGTATCAACATCTAAATCTGCTGATGCATGGCTTGTTTTTTCTTCTTAAGGAGAGAGTTTAGTCTCTTTCTTGTTTTCAATAAAAAACGAATTCATTGAAAGTGAATTTGTTAAGACTCTTTGCTCGGGGATAGGTGGTTGTTCTCGTCTACTCCAAGTAACCCAATGGTTGTCCAACCTGTATTTTCTGACCAGCCTCAATGTTAAATTTGAAATTGGTTGGAGCCTCAAACAACAAAACAATTGTGCTGCCCATATTGAATAGGCCCACCAATTCGCCTTTGCTCAATTTGGTATTCTCCTGCAAGGCCAATTCTTCATAGCCACGTTGATTTTTCCAACCAACCCAGCGATTGGTTTTCAATTGCTTGTCCATGACAAATTCCATGGAACCAACATTTGTGGCTCCGACGGCGGTATAACTGAAGAAGCCATGTTTCCATTGGCCCAAATATAAGGCACGTTCGTTGAGACAGAACAGACCCGGCAGCCAAGTGGCAATTTTGGGACTGACCGACAACAGTTCACCGGTGAAGTGGCGGCGTAACACAGCTTGCCATTCGGTGGGCGAATGGAAACGATGATAATCTCCGGGAGCCAAGTATATGACACACTGATACAGACTTGTCGAACCATCGCGTTTATGTTTGATCACATCCGCATAGTCCTCGCCTTCGGCAACGGTTTTATTATCCACCCAGGAAGCTGGACCCAAGAAATCTTGTATACTATAATTGACACCTTTCACTTGTTCAATCAACGACTTGGAGGCAGTGCCAAAATGTAATATTTTTCCATCCGCCGGTGACACTAGCGGCGCCTTTTCATCTATAGGCCGCACCCCGTCCCTTAACGGTCGCGTAAAGAACTCTGACAAACTTTTGTAATGTTTATAGTCCGGATACTTTGCCTCCTCTATGTTCACATTGAATGCATTCGAGTACCAGCCGTAAATGTAGGGTCTAAAGTTCTCCGGTATATGACAAGCTGCCAACCATCCCCAGGCTCTGCTCAAAAGTCTCAACGGCAAGGAACAATAGATTTTCGATTGGAATTCTGAAGCGGTATGGGGTATTTGTTCTTTGACGGTATTTTGTTTGTGTAGCTGCCATTCGATGGCACCAAAAACACATATTCCAACGGGAGCCCATTTCAACAATAATCCTGTCCATCTCAGGAAAATGCTGAGGCGTTGCTTTTGCAAATCCTGTTGACGTTTGGCCTGCAGCGAAGGAGGTGTGCGTGTCTGTTGTTTGTGCAGGCTATTCGACTTGATCAAATTCTCCACTTTGGCGTCGTTTTGCACCGCATTGCCGCCTCCGACAGCCTTTTGCGAAAATGGTCGACGCAAATTCTTAATCAATGGCCACTTGCCGGCCTGTGTCTGCGTTTGCTGTTGATGTTTCTGATGCATTTGGCGCCAATTTCCTGCCTTCATCAGGAAACGGCCACGGGGAATAAAGTAGGAAACCATTATTACAATGTCTTGCTAGGTCCTTCTCAGTGTAATAACAGAAGTCTCTACTCGGGGAGTTTTGTAGAAAGACAACTAATTTAATTAGGAACTTGTGCACCAGCCCAAATTCTATTCAATTAATATGAGCGCTCAGCAAATAAAGACGTCCTCTTCGTAAGAGGTTCCAAAACTTAATGAACGTTTGATTTCAATTTATGTCCAATTAAAATGTTGCTGGAGCCTCAAAATTCTAAGATTTATTGGTTCTTATCAGGCTGTCGTATGTTTTCTGCGCTCTACTTTCTGCCACTTGTTCGTAGTAGTAGTTCTTGTCGTTTTTGTTATTATTCTTCTTTCGTCGTCGGTCTTTTAAATCAACCTATGAGGCTTTTTCAAGGTTAGTTTTTACTTCTTGTTGTTTTGTTGAATAACCTCTAAATGTGTGAATCCAAAACAGGGAAATTTTTTCTCTGGAAAATTCGACAGATTTATATATTAATTTCGACACCCACTGCATCCAGTTCAATAACAACTTACCTCTTTTAGTTTTTTCTTCAATTATTTGAACAGAAATTTATGATTTTATAACCGAAAGTTCGGGGTTTTTTGAAACATCAAAATCTGCGAATGCAACGAACGAACGAAAAGGAACGAAACCAAGTCGGCTGAATGAAAAAAAATTGCGCCGCTATTTTTTGGTCGATTTGACAAGCAGAGGCGGGAGTTCGCTATGTTGACCTAAATACTGGAGATAAATGACTGAAAAGTTCTCGAACACATCAAATATGTTTATGAGCGTCACTATTTGTAATAGATTCTTTAGTAATGACGGAAATGCATATGGTATGTGTCAAAATATTGTAGGCACTTAATATCTAAAGTAGCATGGCCATACATCAAAAGTGTTTGTATTAGTCTTGGCACATAACACTCCCAACTTAGGCCATTATCAGACAGAATGGATTGTATATATGTGCTGTCATTTTTGGCTATTTTACATATTGTTAATAATATTTGGTATCACACACTTGCATATTTTTTTATTATGTGTGATTATATTGTTATCATATGATATTTTCTACCAGCTGATAACAATTAATTTCTAAGAGAGTCCGGCTTCTGCCTATTTTGTGTATGTATTTATTGTTTTGAAAAATAAAAGGAAAATATTTTCAAAATCAATGATTGGAAGACGTGTACATTGCGGTATGAAGCTATTCGCGAGTTTTGCCATGTAATTGAAAGATCGAACTATTTAGATCATATTTTTGAAAGAAAACCCAGGCATTTCGTACATTTTTCACGCTGTTTAACTGATTTTAAAATGAGAAAAATATTGAATAAATGAAAATAATTTGTTTGCAAGCAAATTTGACAGGAAACAGGCATAGCCTCAGGGCTGTTTTATATATTTTCACACAATAAACAAACATGACTTTATAATAAATTATATTTTACCTATGAAAATTTAATTTCGGAACTACATGGATGTCATATGTATCAAACGATATGTGTAAAGAATGTTTACGATTTAAAAGCGTAAAATGTGTTTTTTTTTTTAATTTTTCAAATTTTGATGTATTTTAATTTGTTGCATTGAAGATATGAACTTCGAGTATTTAATAATACCATGATATAAAAATACAGGTAGTCGCATCGAAACAGCTGCTAGTACAATGAACTGTCAAATTAATTTTGGAATTGAAAAATTTGAAAGGAAAACTATTCAAATTTAAAAAAAAATTGAAAAATACATAACATGGTATCGTGTAAGAAAACATTTAAAAACAATCTACTTTTAAAATTTTGGCATATCTATGTTCCGACCTGTACCTGTTTTATTATACTATGAATAATACGTAAACACTTTACCATAGTGGTGGGTATCATTGCACGGTGAGTCGGGTAGGCATATAAAGTGGCGAAATTAGCTCTGGGAGGTTTACTTTGCCCAGAAAGTACTTGAATGAAAAACTAGTTAACGTCGCAATACATAAACAGTAATCTGCCTTATAATGGGCGATCTTTAGGTTTCATCTTTTTTGCCAACACGAACTCACACGTGTTTCGTATTTTGTTTCACGGTCATTGTTCTATAATATAACAATCAGTCTTCTTTAGAACAAACAACGCCTGCAAATCGTTGAATTATGCTACCAATGCATCCAGAAAAAGACACAGTTTGGTGCAGTTTATGTGCTTCTTCAAAGATGCAGCACGCGTAACAGTGAACTTATTGAGAGACGAGTTCATTGAACATTCTATTTTATGTATTAATTATCGCCCTAGGTCGTGAGAATTAACGCCTTCACACTATTTTTTGAGGGGGCTATGTTAAAGCTACTGTCAATTTTTTTTTTTTTTTTTTGATGTCGAAAAAGGTCAAATCAGTTATCTTTCACATTCTTGTAGTTGTGGAACAGATAAAAAATCAGCACCCCCATGCGGGGTGCATATTACAATATTAGTCATTTTTGCCACGAAAGTAAACTATTCATTCAATTTTTTGAAAGAAAATCCAAGTATTTCATTCTTCTTTATCGTTTTTTAATTCCTTCTAAAAATGAGGAATAAATATCAAGATGACAAATTGACCCAATTTTAACAGAAAGCGGGCATCGACTCGGGGCAGGTTTTCAGTAGTTTACGATGCTTTTTTTAGTCCTTAATAAATGACCCTTTAAAATAATTAATGTTATGATAACGGAAAAATGGTTGAAATGCAAAAATAAATTGATTTGTTAAATATTTTCTTATGCGATGCCGTCCAGAAGCTGTTAAGATATGATTTAAAAAATAGCCTTAGCTAATACAAATAATTTTTCATTCAAAACTTTTAACTTAAAATTGTTTTGACAGTTACCTCGAGAAGTACCAATAAATGTATTCTATTTTTTTTAGTTGTGTTTAAAAATTAAAATGACAAACCTTATGCTAGGAACACAATTGGAGCGAACGACGAATTTCGCCCTACGCGGCGACAAAATGAGCCGCGAAAATTCGTCGTATGGAACACAATACCGACGAAATTATAAAACAGCTGATGAAGTTGTTTACTTTTTGCTCATTTGTTGACTACAATGAATTATACAAGAACACATAATTCTTTACGTTCTCTATTATAATTTCACTTATGTCCATCTTCTCTATTATAAATTCACTGATATCCATCTTCACTCAGGCGCAAGTACACAAATAAATAAACAAATTAATTATGTTTTTTTTATACGAGTAACAGATAGTAGAGTGACCATAACAAATTTTAAAGTAAAAAGTAACTTTATTTACTAAAACACATAAAATTCGTACAAGTATGGCCACCTTGTACTGTTTTGTTCGCCGGTCGCCGGCGTATGAAATAGAAATAAAGCTAATTGAGTTCGCGGCGACCGACGAAATCTTCGCCGGTGCCGTGATTGTGTGCACTTCCATATACACATATGTGTTTTATTTTTGACGACGAACATACGCCGCGAAAAAATTCGTCGTTCGCTCCAATTGTGTTCCTAGCATTATGTGCTCTCAAATGAAAACAACAGCTGATTTTGTTGTCTTGGATACCAAAATGACTAAAGAACCGTTTTTGGTTTATAGAACCCTAAACAATTGCTTGTTTTGTTTTGATTCTGATTTTATCGCTTGTTTTTACTAACTTCCAGTTTAAAGACAAAAGCCAGACAATCCCAATTAGATTGGTAAAGTACATACACAAATATAGTTAAAAAATGAGTCAAACGGCAGATGTGGAAAAGGTTCCGGTGTCCTTCGCCTGCCAGCGATGTCTGCAACCCATATTGTTAGATGAAAATCTGGAAAACATTAGTGTTCATGCAATGGCAGAGTTGTCGCGTAAGTTTAGCTAATAATTGGATAATTGGCAGAAAGAAAATCATTTAAATTGTATACTACTTCAATTTCAGTACCCATCTATGCAAGCAATGTCAACACACTGGATAATCAGGACAACAGCTTTGATCATTTTGTGCCACCCTATCGTTTAACGGATTCCGTAAATGGCACAGGCTTCATGTTGGTGTCCGATGGTCGTGACAACAAGAAATGGAGTGCTGCATTTAAATTGAAAGCTGAACTGTTCGATTGTTTGTCCTCCAATTCGGAAATTGATCATCCACTGTGTGAAGAATGTGCTGATTCCATGCTGGAGATCATGGATAGGGAGCTGAAAATAGCCGAAGATGAATGGAGTGATTATAAGAATTACTTAAAACAATTGGAACAACAGCAAGATTGTCCAAATATAGGAGAACTGGAAAAAGAATTGGCTGAGCTAAAGGAAAATGAACAGGCTCTGTTGAATCAGTTGAATGATTTGAAAATTGAGGAGCAAAGCCTTAACGATGCCATTGAAAAAGAAGAGGTGGAGAAACAAAAACTGCAGGAACAGGAGGCAAGTTATTGGCGTGAATATACCAAGCATCGAAGAGAACTGATGCTAACGGAGGATGACAAACGTAGTCTGGAGTGTCAAATTGCCTACGCCGAACAGCAGTTGGAGAAACTTAAAGATGCCAACATTTTCAACATAACATTCCATATATGGCATGCTGGACATTTTGGTACAATTAACAACTTTCGTTTGGGACGTCTGCCATCGGCCTCGGTTGATTGGTCGGAAATTAATGCTGCATGGGGACAAACGGTGCTGTTGCTGTGCGCTTTGGCGCGTAAAATTGGACTTACATTCGAGCGATATCGCATTGTACCCTTTGGCAATCATTCATATGTTGAGGTATTGGGGGAAAATCGTGAATTACCTTTATATGGCACTGGCGGTTTTAAATTCTTCTGGGATACCAAATTTGATGCAGCAATGGTTGCATTTTTGGATTGCCTAACACAATTCCAGCAGGAGGTGGAGAAAAGAGATCCAGAATTTCTATTACCCTATAAAATGGAAAAGGGTAAAATAATTGATCCCTCGACGGGGAACTCGTATTCCATCAAGTAAGTTGGACTGTGACATAAAACTTGGAAGTTCTCCTAATATATATTTGTTTTGCTTTTAGGATACAATTCAATTCCGAGGAACAGTGGACAAAGGCTCTAAAGTTTATGCTTACAAATCTCAAATGGGGTCTAGCCTGGGTCTCGTCTCAATTTGCCAGTAATCAATAGGTTTTTAGCTATTATTTGTTAATACATATATAATTTTATTTAAAAAATAAGAAATACATATATAAGGTATTAGTTATGATTTCATGGTAAATATAATTTTTATTTACTAAAAAGAAATATTGGCTTAAAATATATTTATCATCAATAGATTTTGTTGTGTTGTTGGCTAGGTGCAGTAATTTTTTCTCTGAAATCCGGTTTCTGTGTTTGAAATTCAAAATTGTGTTTGGTTTCGTTATTGAGAAATTCGTTATTTTTCTTTTGCTGTAAAATTTGCTAATTTTTATGCCCAAGAATTGGCTACAATGCTTATTTGTCCGTACACTTTTAATAATGTTCTCCGGACAGTGTCCATCGTAAAGAGAAAATATGATCCTGTTAATGTAATCCACAACAAAATCTAATGATGGTACAAAAATTACCCTAATCAATATTATTTGCTAGCAACTGATACTGCTGATGTGGAGTCATATGAGATATTATTTTCTTCAGCAGTCGTTTTTTGTTCTCCTTTAGAAGCGGCATCAGAATCATTTGAAGAACTCGTCTCATCATTTGCCAAAGATTTTTTGTCCGTTTCAGAGCTTTCCTCTTCACTTTTGTTATCCTTCTTAGTCTTTTCTTTGCAAATTTCATCATCATCACTATCATCATCCGAATCACCCGATAAATCATCATCAATCCAAAGGGCTGGCTTCTTGGCTTTAACTCCCGCTGCCTGTTTAGATGTTGATGGTTCTGGCTTGCGTTTCAAATCCTTTGAACCAGTGGCTTTCTTAAAACCCTCCTCCACAGCATCACAAACCTTCTCCGCCAGCTTAGATCGAGCCTCTTCGTACTCTGCATCTTTGAATTCATGTTTCGGTACGGCAAGAAGTTTTTCGATCTTACGTTTCTTTCTTTCCTCTGCCTCACGTTCTCGTTCACCCTGTTTTTCCAACCATGCCTTTAAACGTTTCTCCTCGTTGATGTCACGTAGTCGACGTCCACTCAAATCTCTACAAGCTTCCCTGTTTGTAGTCTTTTCAATTTGCGCACCAATTGCTCGTAGCATGGAACCAAAACCGCCTTTGCCACCTAATAGGCGGATACGGACATAAATGGGTGCCTCTTCGAATGGATCGCATTGTAAACGTTTACCATTTTGTTCCAAATAGAAGGAATCGGGGGGCAAACTCTGAAAGTAAACACAAACAAGTTAGCACTCAGGGAATGGTAACAAAACTGCATTTCTTACGGTTTCATGGGTCACGTAGTCCACAAGGCCATCGTAAGAAGGTTCCGGAACCGCCACAGATGTTGTGGGACTCAGGAAGAGGTTGACCATTTTACTAATTTTTTATTTTATTTATTTTTATATTTTTAAATTGTTTTGTTTCCAAGATCTGCGACGTTCTAGTTCACTCTTTCTTCTCTTTCTTTCGTTTGGTTGGTTGTTCGTTGCGAAACGAAACGAATACCCGATAAAAAATAAACAGAAAGCAAAGACTCGGAAACAAATATGAATACCCGATAACGAATATGAAGGCCACAAAGGAGTACCCGATAAAAAATAAACAGAAAGCAAAGACTCGGGGTACTCGGTTGTTTACGAATGAGTGTTGGGGTTACGCCTTCAAATTTATATTCGGCGTTCGGGTGACAAGCGCTTCGCTTTTGTTAAGTTGTCGACCTGGAGACATATGCAACATATGTTTTTGCCCCACGATAAAAAAAAACAAATGTAAACAAACACACGTGAATAGGAAGAAAACAATCCTAACAGAAATAAATTCCAGAAAATTATGAGTTCCTCCGAAGAAGATCACAATTCCTCGGACGAGCATAGCTCCTCCGAAGAGGAAGAAGAGCAAAGAGTTGGTATAATGTAGATAATTTTATATAAAAATCTAATATCTCAACTCCCCCACAGAATGAAATACGAGAAGACTTAAAAAACATGTCCTTTGAAGAAATCATGAAGCTGAAAGAGGAATTAGGAGCGAAAATCTACAAAGAAGCCGTGCTGGGAATTGATAGCAGTAAAAAAGAAAAACCCAAAAAGGAAACTAAGGAGTTTAAACGTCTTAACAAAAATCGTCCCCGAGAACAGACGGCAAAACGTCAGGTACCCTTCCTGGGAGCTGAATTGCGTACAAAACGGAAAAAAGATGATGTACGGGATCCCCGATTTGATGAGCGGGCTGGAGAATATGATGTGAAAAAATTCAAAGAAAATTATAAATTTGTAAGTGAAATTCGTGAAAAAGAGGTGGTACAATTGAAGGCCGCCCTTAATAAGACCACCGATGAAGAGGAACGTCGTGAAATCAAGAAAACCATACAAAGATTAATAAATAAAAATGTCGAAGAAAAGAAATGGCATCAGAAACAACAACAGCTCAAGGAGGAACAAAGTGACATCCAGAAAGCCATTGCAGAGGGTAGACAACCTCATTTCATTACCAAGAGTATGTAGCATATATTTCTTTCCTAATTATTATTTTCTAATTTCTTTTTCCAACATTTTGCAGAGGAAAGAAGAACCAAGGAATTGGTGGCTCAATTCGAAGAGTTGAAACAGAAAGGCAAACTGGCCAAACACTTGGAGAAACGCCGCAAAAAGAATGCAGCCAAGGATCGCAAGAGAATTGGCTTCGATTAGGATATAGTTTAAAATATGTTTGTATTTTTTTTAACAATAATAAACAATAGTAAATCTAACCAGTACGTAACATCTTAGCTTCGCGTTTTTCTTGTAATTCACGTCTTTGGGCCTCAACCACAGCACGTCGTTCCTCCAAAAAGGCAGCATAGTCCTCGGCCTTTAATTCTCGCACAATTTTAATACCACATGTGCGAGCAATTCCCACCAACATTTCACACATTTGCTGAAAATAAACCAAATTACACATGAAAATGTAAAGCTATACTAAAATAAGAAATATTAATTGTACCTGCATTGTGAGTAAAGCATTTGGTGGATCTTGAATTTTAATTGCGGCAATTTCATATAAATGCTTTAACGTAATCATGCCCGCAACTTCTCGTCCGGCACTCATGGCACCTCTTTGTATGCCGGCAGCTTGTTTCAGTAAGAAGGCAGCAGGTGGAGAATGTATAACTAAATTATAACTACGATCACTGTTCACGGAAATGCGGCAGGGTAGTGGTATGCCTTCCTTCATATCTGCAGTTCGTGTGTTGAAGTCCTTGCAAAAGGCTGCAATGTTAATGGCGCGCTGGAAAACAAGATGAGTTAATATTGAATATATTAATCGAAAGAAAAGTTAGTTACCTGACCCAACATAGGACCCAATGGGGGACCGGCCGCTGCCATGCCAGCAGGTATATTTGTTTTAAGTTTTGTGGTATGGGTTATCTTCTCTACACCCTTCTTTATGCTTTTTAATTTGCCCGCTGCCTTAGACATATTGCCTGCTTCTTGTTAGACTTTTTATTTTATAAAATAAAAATATGAAAATGTTTTGGTTGGTTGGTTTGATTGTGGTTATGCAAAAAACTATGAATTAGGGATAGATAAGTCGACTTCCGATTAATCGAATAATCGACTTTTAGTACTCAAAGTTCGGAAACTCGAATAGCTTCGGGGAAAGCCCATTAAAACGTTAAAGCAACAGTGGATTATCTCTACTAAACCCTTAATTTAAGGACAATTCTATTGAAAATTAAGAGCGCAGTATCACCCCAAGGAAACGGCAGAAAATGCCGGTAGCCAATTCAACGAAAATAAAATAAAATATACACATATGCTCTGTTCCAAATCTGCAAGAAGAAGAAAATACGATAACTGACTTTCCATTATGATATCGAAAAAAATGGCAAAGCTATTTGATTCTTACAGGTTCTGGTTGATTCTGGAACAGGTCAAGAAACGTTACGCATTTCGTAACAGGATCAAGGCTTATAAGCTTATATAAAGACGGCTAGTAACCCCACGATCGCAGTTTCTTTCAATGAAATTATCCGTCTCTATACGGGATTATTTTCAATATGACATGAAACTATACGTGAGGTGAGGGGAACAAACTTCTCTAAACGCCTCAGTAAATAACTTTTGTTTCAGCTGTTTTTTCTAAAATATCCTATCTTTATATATCTCTATTTGTTTATTTACCCTGTGTGAGCACCTCTGTCAAATTTTAACGACTGCGAACTCCCTCGTTTATATGTCATCTGCGGACAGGGTTGCATTTTGTTGAGCAAGTATTTGCTGTTGACAGAGTATTCGGTACTATTATTTCTAATGTTAAACTATTTAATTCAAACATTTCTACAAAATATATGTAAGTAGACCACAAGGGGTTCAAATCACAACATTTATCTATTATAAACTGTAAGTCAACAATTTTTTATCGCAACAAACGATAAATTGTCTTATTTGTGCAATGTTTTTGTTAAAGCGCCAAAATATCCGGCTGGCATCCAAACATATACAAATATTGGATATTTTCATAGCACTAGTTGTTGTTTTTATAAGGGTTGAAAAAAGGGGGTTTGACATAACGACAAAAAATAAACAGCAGCATAGTATGACATATTAAAAAAGAAAGCAACTAGCCAAAGTGAAAAAAGAAGTTTGATCAATTACAAAATTGTTAAATAATAATTATTTTTACAAAAACGAAGACATCACGGTGAAGAGTAACTCGATTAAATAAAACATCTTTGTTACTAATGTCGTGGTGCATACGATTTTAGTGTGAAATCGCAGCAAATGAAAACGGGGGTTGCAGAAAGAAATTGGAAAGAAAATTTTTTTGCTTGACGCTTTTGTGGGGGTCTTTTTTCATGACGCCTAAACCCCATCCTGGTGTAAGATAATAGAATTTGAAATAATCAACAAAATATCCGATGGTTCGTAGCAAATCATCATCGTCCTCCTCATCGGGTAATGCCAGTAACAACAGCAGTACCAAATCACCCATACGCCAGTCGCATCGTAAAACTTCCAGTACATGTAGTGTAGCACTGGATGATGTCAAGCCATCCACCTCATCAAATCGACGCTCACCCAATTCCTCGCCGGATGATGATTCCGATGACTATGATGTTCCAATGAATACCAGATCACCCTTTAGTTCCGTACATAAACAAAATCTGTATGTGGTTTCATTTCCTATCATCTTTCTTTTCAACGTACTTCGTACGCTAATCTATCAGCTGTTTTGTATATTTCGCTACATCTACGGAGCGAGCACAAAAGTCATTTATCGTCCGCATAAGCGTGAATGTAATATTGAAATTGTTGTTGGATCCTCATCAGGTGCACAAAATTCCAGTTTGGTGGCCGTCTCGTCCAAGGATAAACATCAGCTGTTAGAACAGGCACACACAAATTCGTCAACATCGACAGCTATTGCCCCATACCCCTTGCCAGGGTCGAGAGTACGTCATCCGCAACAACAATTGGAAATGTTCAATAAGAATAACACTGGTGCCGGAGGCGCTGGAGCCTCGGGTCCCGGACCAGGAGATCCTTTGTTGGCCAAACAAAAACATCATCATCGTCGAGCATTCGAATACATTTCAAAGGCCTTGAAAATCGATGAAGAAAATGAAGGTGAGTTTTAGAACGTAGTAAGTAGTATGTTGTCGTGGTTATTGTTGTTGTTGCCTATATGTGGCGCTTTGTCTTTGTTGTTTTATTGCGCTAAATTGTGAATTGAATATTGTAGCTTCAATTGTTTGGTACTTATGAGTCATTCATGCTCGAGAAGATTGTAAGAAGGGGATTTCTATTACATGCACCCGGATCTGATAATTTTTAGATGCCATCAGTTTCGTACGAAGAAAAAATTGAATGGATGACGTGATATATTTGTTATTGAATATGTCTATATCATGAGATGTTTATCGATAGTCTGTAGATGAATGCCAACAAACTATTTGAAAGTGTCCGTGTTTAGGGAATTCCAAGTTATTAGTAAATCTTAGTATGCGTCATGCCCTTCTGTTCATAGTTATTCCAAAAAGGGCCTCATGCCAATTTTATAATAAAAATGTTTCCTATTTAATTTTTAATTATAAAAGTTCAGGAAATTTTAAAAGAAGTTTTACTTTGTTCTATTCAAGAAACAATAATAATTTGAATACAGGCAGAAATACCCATGAGTTATGCTAAGGTTTGTTTAGGCTTGCTCCTCCTTTTTTCGTACCCTTTTCTTTAACAAAGTCCCTTATTAATGTACTAAACTATTACAACATGCGTTACATGTTGTCGTGGACCACTTATGACCAAACAATTGGTGAAAGAAGTGCTCCTTTATATGACATACTTTGATTGAAACCTAGCCAGATTCTCTGTAGATTATGAGCTTGAACATCAAGGATGATTTGATTCTTTCCGCACATTACAAACTCGTTCTTCAAAGTCTCAGAAATAATTGACAAAACATTCCAGTTATAATCGTCGTCGTCCATGCTACATCCGTTTTTATACCCTCCACCATAGTATGGAGGGTATATTAAGTTTGTCATTTCGTTTGTACCGCCTCGAAATATACATTTTAGACCCCGCAAAGTATAAATTAAACATAACGTTCTTTTTCGAGTGACAAAATGGGACTCACTTTATTTTTCCTTTATTCTTAAAATTAAGTTTTGTTGGACAATGTATTTAGTGCAACGTTAGCACTTTTGATTTTATTATTTCTTAGAGTTAGGTTTCTTAAAATGTAAGCATTTATCTGTTGTTTATACGAATGAATGACATGAATGCATTGTAAGCATTTTGCAAGCATATTTAAGTGCCATCGAACTTGCACGCGCAACAGAAACAGAAATAAAGAAGTTAACGTTAACTCCTCCCCTCTTTAAACCGAGCGTCCTCGATCGGTCAAAAATAGGGAATATGAGAAATTCTTCGTATTCCCGGCAATTCCACTACTTCCGGCATAGGAACACGATTACGTGCGTCATACGGACATGAATCTGCTATAGACGGGGTGAGTATAATTTCTTTTCCCCTTTTGCAGATCTTGGACCTTATAATGAAAACGATTATCAATATTATCGCGAAGGAGGTAAGTCCAAAATTTGTGGTTTGACCCCACTCGTATTTGCCTCCCAATAAATTTATGGCTTTTGTGTTACTAATTTGAATTTCTTTAATTGACTCTAAAGAGAGCGTCTCTTCTATACTGAGAACAGACTCCCTAGGTTGCAGAATCGCCGGTAATGGTTGAATATGGCTTATTTCAAAAAAGGAATATGATTTGTCGGAAATACTTAGTGTAGTGTTGCTATATTGGATGACATACGATCCAATAAGTCTTTGTGCAACATTATTTATTAGGATTGTTTCATTGAAATTATTTAACAGGATTACCCCTGGAGAAACTTCTTCAACTGTTGGTACTGTTTTGTTATCAGTTACCGTGCAATTCGATGTCTTGCTATTTAACAAATTAGAAATACAGGTGTTATTCTCTATAGCTTCTAAGTTTATGCTATTACAGATACTTATATTATTGTATTTCATGCATTCACTCTTGATTCCGTATAATTTTAAATCTTGTTTGCACATTATTACATTTTCGGATTTTAATTTATTGACGAACTTCTCAAATTTTATAGGTTTCAGTAATAATCTATTACAAACTTTGTTGTCTGTCATTGGTATTCTAATAATATAAATGATAGATTGATTATTAGTTGCGATTTTTATTTGAGCAAATTCAAAGATTTCTTCTACATTAACAAACGGTATTGAATCTTTTTCAATTATATTTTTAATAATATTTATCTCGTCAGATGAAAGTATGAATGAGTTTACAATTCCTATTTTTGCCCAATGGATAGCGTATTGAATATTTACAATTTCTTGTTTTAATATTTCTATTTTAAATTTTAATTTTGAACTTAATCTATCTCTGTTTACATCACTGTAATTTATACTTTTTATTATTTCATTAGTTATTTGTGTTAACTCATTAATTTTTCTCAATGACAATTTGTTAATTACAACTTGTTTATTATTGTTTTCTAGAACTTCATTAGTTTTCTGAGTTATTATTTCAAAATCATCGTGGTCTGGATTTCCAGCAATCCATTTCCACGCTGAACCTATAAAATTCAATGATCGTTTATTTTTCACGTTTGGCTTCAAACGGTCCAAGTATCCTTGAATCTCTATCAGCTCATGGGTTAGGAAGGGATGAAGGAAATGGTGTTTGGTTATGTTCTGGGAAAGGATGTTTTGTAGGGAATTTATTGTTTCTTGATATTTGTCGATGTCAATGATATGAATTATCCTGAAGTTACCATCTTGAATTTTTGCCAAACCGGAATCAAACGCAACAATTTGAGAGTTTGTATAGTCCAAAATCTTGACATAGGCGGTCGCCGTGGCGAATAAAAATCTGAAAATATTTGATTTCTTAATTTCTGATATTGTTTTTGTGTACGGTTTTTCCTGATTCTGTAATAACAGTTGTATTTTGGTTTTCTTTTACTATTTCTTGTCTGTATGCCTTACTTAACTTTGTCCCAAGTCTCCTATTCTCTTTTACGAATATGATTTCTCCTGGCGTATAGGTTTTTGGTTGAGTCCTTTTCTTATTGTGGTAGTTAATATCTTCTGCTTGTTTTTCTTTAAGCCTTTGGGCAATTTCGGATCTTTCTTTCTCTATATCATCCTGACTCATGTTTGCCCTTTTTCCAAGAAATGCTTCAACTGGTTTCTTTTGAATGCTTGAGTGTATTGTGTTATTATATTCGTAAATGGATCTATGTAAAAGCTCTGAGAAGGATTTGTGTAAGTTCTGTGCTTTTAGACATCGCATTATCTCTGACAGTGTAGAGTGAAACCGCTCAATTTGCCCATTTACAGTACTACTGTACGGCGGGATTTTGAACAATTTGATGTTGTACTGATTTTCTAACATGAAAACTATTGCTTTGGAATTAAAAGATCTTTCGTTGTCGATAACTATTATTTCAGGAATTCCAAAGGATATGACTAATTCCCTAAGTGGTTCTTTAATGTCTTCTGCTGATCTTGATTTCAGAATTTTTGCTTGAGCGTATTTAGAAAACTTGTCTATAGCCGTCAATACGGATGTCTTTTCGGTTATGTAAATGTCTATGTGAACAATCTGTCCAGGATTTTGTGGGATAGGTGTTTCCTGTAGGCCTATCTTATTAGGATGTCTATCGTATTTGTTTTCTTTGCAAACTTTACATTGATCGACTATTTTCTTAATTTTAGCTTGCATTCTGGGAAAGTAGTATTTTGTCAATAACTGTGCTTTATTTTCTACGCTATTTCGGTGTGCTCTATTATGTTCAGCAATAATCTTGTTTTCTTGGTCTTCATCATTTTTCAAGTCGGTTACCATTTGTCTTGAATATTTGACTTTGTATTGTGTGAAATTATCACGGAACACTTCTTGCAATACTCCCAAGATTTCGTCATTAGTCTTTAAGCAGTTTGTTACCGATGGGTTTAAATATTTCTTCAAAATGTCTCTGAGAAATTCTGGTGTAATATTTCGTTCATTTATAGTATGTCTGTGATAAGTTGGAAAGACAATTTCAAATTTATAAGATGGTTCATCATCTTCTGAAGAGATGAGAATTTGATTCTTAAATGCGTTTATCGGAGCGTCAGTGTATTGTATTAAATTATGAGATGAGCTTTCATGACTGTGTTGGGTCGAAGTCAGAGCATTTATCTCTTCTGGTTCTTTAGGAGGTCTTGATAGTGTATCGGCAACTACATTTGTACTACCGGGTTTGTATAGTAATTCGTAATTGAATTCCTCAAGGAAGGCTTTCCATCTTCTTAGCTTGAAATTAGCTGTTTTATTATTCAATGCGTATGTCAGTGGAAGGTGATCGGTATAAATTTTAAGTTTGGCAGAACCGTAAAGGTAGTTTCTGAGGGATTTGAGAGCCCAAGTAATTGCAAGCATCTCCTTTTCGTTTGTTGCATAATGTTCCTCTTCCTTTTTGAAAGTTTTAGACAAAAATACAATTGGTTTATTATCTTGTGAAAGCACTGCGCCCATTGCATAGTGCGAAGCGTCCGTAGTAAGTTCAAATTCTTTATTAAAATCGGGATATGCCAATATTACGTCTTCCGATGACAATATTCTCTTTAATTTATTAAAAGCTTCTACTGCTTCTTGATCGAGATCTATAGCCATTTTATTGGAAACGTATTTGGACGCACGTCCTGCCTCCCCCCTTAAATATATTGTCAGAGGTTTAGAAATTTTGGCATAATCTCTAATAAAGCGTCTGTAGAAATTACAAAGTCCTAAAAATGATCTTAAGTCTTTTAGTGTTAATGGAAGTGGAAATTTTTCTATTGCTTCAACCCTTTTTGGGTTTGTTTTTATACCGGAATCGGATATTATGAAACCTAGGAATTCAACTTCTTTTTTCAAAAATTCACATTTGTCGAGTTGTACCTTTATATTGGCTTTCTCTAATGTCTCGAATATGGTTGAAATATTCTTGAGATGTGAATCTTCATCCTCTGCGAATATTATTATATCATCCATATAGATGAAACATATTTTGCCAATGTGCTCCCTAAGAATGTCGTCCAAGGCTCGTTGGAATATGGACGGAGCATTTTTCAAACCAAATGGAAGTCGAGTGAATTCGTATTTTGCATTATTAATAGAAAAGGCAGTTTTTTCTCTATCACTTTCCCTAAGTAATATTTGGTGAAATCCACTTTTTAAATCTAATACACTAAACAGTTTATTTTTTCCTATTTGTGGTAGGATTTCATTTATTTCTGGGATGGGATATCTATCTCGAATTGTCTCCTTATTTAATTTTCTATAGTCTATCACCATTCTGTATTTCACTTTGCCTGATGCATCCGATTTTTTTGGCACGATCCAGATGGGTGAATTGTATGGTGACCGTGAAGGTCTAATTATACCTTGATCGAGGAGTTCCTTTATCTGTTTTTCTACTTCTCCTTTCAAATGCATAGGGTAGGGATAAAATTTTGAATAAACTGGTTCGACATTGGTAGTCTGAATATCGGCGACTACTGTCGTAGTGTAAGTAAGTTTTTGATTTGGTTCCCCAAAGAGTGATTTATGCCTTTGGATCACTAGATCTAATTTTTGTTTCTCTTGTGGGGTTAAATGGTCTGTCCTAAGGTCGATAGTGTTCACAGATCTAGATAATTTCTGCTTTATTTTCACTTTTATTCTATTGTCTATAAGCATGTAGTCTTTTGACGTATAAATGACAGCAGATAATTTTTTTAAGCTATCGTTTCCTAAAATTCCGTCAAAAGATTTAAGGGTTGGTAAAAGGAAGAATTGTAGAGGGCAACAATTTTTGTCAAAAAGATTAATAAAAGTGTGTTGTGTTATTGCTGTTTTTCCTCCTACTGAGTTTGCAAAAAACGGGGTTTTATTTTCTAAAGGATTTTTTATAAGTCCAGGTTGGATATAGTTTTTATTTGAACCCGTATCAATCAAGATTTTAAGAATTTGCCCTGAATTCGTCCTACATTCAAAATAAGGTAAGGACGAATTCGTTAATCTAAAAAATGAATATCTACGAATTCTTGTGTATCTTCTTTGTCATCGTTGTCAAGAACATCATATTGATTTTTTATGTAATCATTGAGATCAGATAATTGTTCTTGATTTTCATACTGCTCTAACATTGTTTCGTATTCTTCAGCGGTGGGACCTAATTCATCTGTGTCTACATGAAAATTTCTTTGTGCCTTATCAGGTCTCCTAAATTGGTCAGAATGTTCTGATGGTCTCTTTCCATAAAATCTATTATTTTGTGCTGGCCTATTCATGTAGTTAACAGCTCGGGATTGCATGGAAGCATCTATTTCCATCGGCTCAGGCTTGGGCTGAGGTTTTGGTGCTGTTGGTCTTGGTGGTTGCAAATTTTGATTTTGGGGGTAATTATGTTGATTATAATTATTACGAGGATAAATAGGAGGATTAGAATTATTTTGTCGAACACCAGAGTGTTGTGGCAAATATGCCAATTGTGGGTAAAATGGCATCTGATTCGTATTTTGAAAATGAGTTTTTGGATGGGGTGGTTTCTGAAAATTTAGTCTATTATTTTTAACTGTTGGATTGTGTGAGTTAGCAAATTGTGCTCTAGCGAATTGATTTTCCATTTTGAGACATAATTGTAGTGCTTGTGGGAGATCCGTCGGTTCTTTCATGCCAAGATGAATTGACATTTGTCCTTTTAGTCCTCTTATGAAAATGTCTAAAGCTTTATCCCTATAAGTTTGGGCTAGGATATCTAGAGCTTCTTTACCTACATCGAGACATGACAATTTGTTCATAATAAGCGTAAGGTGTGAATACACTTCTTGATAAAAATCTTGGATACTGTTGTTACCTTGTATTAAGGTTGTCATTTGATATTCTAGTGTCGTAAGATCACGCTTATCTGCGTAGTGAAGCGTTAGACACTTTGAAATACTACTCCAATTAAGGGGTGTATTGTAAGACTCTAAGGCCGCATCGGCATTACCGTTGATTTTATTCCTTATGGTGTTAAGGATGGCAAAGTATTTTGGGGTACCTTTTGTAGATTCGTATAACTTAAGGATCCTTTCGACACTCTTTTTCCAAGAGCTGAATTCCGATGCTTTTCCTGAAAATTCTCTCAAGCTTCTCACTACGTCGGGTACTTTATCTAAATCTGTCAAGTTTTCTCTATATCTGACGTCGATAGTTTCGTCTTCGCCTGCTATGTCTGAACTAGGTCTTAAAAATTGGGCTATGGCAATTTGGCATTGCTGTGCACAGATTCTGGCAATGGTTTGTTCCATGTTTGCTGAATTTATTGCGCTATTATTGTTATTATTATTCTGTCCGTTATTATTTTGTCCGTCGGAGTTATTGACGTTAAGGATGGGTGGTCGGATGAGGTTATTGGGGTTGGACATTTTAAACGATCACTATTTAGTTGTTAACCTTTTAGAACACAAATTATATTTTTACAATTTTGTTTTGTTTTAACTTTTCAGAATTAATAATAGGAAAATTGTTTTATCAATGTTTTTAGTTTTTGGGTTTTTTTTTTTTTCTTAAACGCTATCACTTTTTATCTCTAAATTTACAATACAACTTTATAGAGCATGCCGTCTGTTTTGTTTTAACTTTTCAAAATTAATAATAGGGAATTTGTTTTTATCAATGTTTTTAGTTTTTTTTCTTCACTTAAACACTATCACTTTTCTTTCTAAACTTACAATAAAACTTTGTAGAGCATGCCGTCTCCTGTTGATTCTCCGTATTCCTTTTTGCTTCCGCTACTAAGGGGGTGTCTTCAATCTTTTGAGCCGGCTGGATGTCGTTGACTCTCTCGTACTCCACAAGTTTTTCCCACAGCTTTTGGGGATTTAGTGTTGATTTACAGCCTTTATAGGGTGTCTTCTTCAACAGGTTATTGATGTTTTTAGTTACCAGTACGCAGCTTTATGAGGTGCCTTCTTCCACAGGTTTTGATGTTTTTAGTTAGCAGTTTGCAGCTTATGAGGTGCCTTTATTAATTTGCAGCCGTTTGGGTGCTTTAATTTTTAGTTGACAGTTTGCAGCTTCATGAGGTGCCTTTATTAACTTTGCAGCCGTTTGGGTGCTTTTTTTTTTTTTTTTTAGTTGACAGTTTGCAGCTTCATGAGGTGCCTTTATTAACTTTGCAGCCGTTTGGGTGCTTTTAATTTTTCGTTGGGCGCCAATTAAACATAACGTTCTTTTTCGAGTGACAAAATGGGACTCACTTTATTTTTCCTTTATTCTTAAAATTAAGTTTTGTTGGACAATGTATTTAGTGCAACGTTAGCACTTTTGATTTTATTATTTCTTAGAGTTAGGTTTCTTAAAATGTAAGCATTTATCTGTTGTTTATACGAATGAATGACATGAATGCATTGTAAGCATTTTGCAAGCATATTTAAGTGCCATCGAACTTGCACGCGCAACAGAAACAGAAATAAAGAAGTTAACGTTAACTTATATATATTCTTGATCAGCATAAATTTCCATGTCGATTTAGCGATGTCCGTCCTTTTGGACTGCAGGACTTTTGGTATTGAAAATGGACCATGTAGGCCACGTTTGGGTATAGCCCCCATATAATGGAATTATTTCAAATTTGGTATTTGAAGTTTGAAATGGTATGGTATGCTGTAGTACATAGGACTGAAAATTGTATGTGCAGGTCCACGTCTTCGTAGCCCCCATGTAACGGTACCTCTCGATATTCGGTATTTTGTTAATTTTAGCGACATCATTCACCGGAATTGTTTCAAATTTGGTATTTGAATTTCGTAATGGATACTACAGCCTAAGACAGAAAATGAGCCATGTAGGTCCACGTCTTCGTATAGCCCCCATATACCGTACCCCCCGATTTTCGGTATTTTTAAGATTTTGGCGACATTATTTACCGGAATTGTTTCAAATTTGGTATTTGAATTTCGTAATGGATACTACAGCCTATGACAGAAAATTGTCTGTGCAGGTCCACGTCTTAGTATAGCCCTCATATACGGGACCTCCCGATATTCGGTATTTTGATGATTTTAGCTACATTATTCACCGATTTTTTTTAAATTTCACATATGAATATTGTAATGGCTTATGACAAAAGTTACCTATGCAGGTCCATGTCGTCGTATAGACCCTTATATAACAGCTACATTCGGTATTTTTAAGATTTTAACAGAATTTTTAACGGATTTTATTGTTTTTGAGAATTGCAAAATTCGTTCCCAATGGTGGAGGGCATTCAAAGTTCGGCCTGGCCGAACTTACAGCTTTCTTACTTGTTTTTTTTGTTTCAAATGTAGCCGGACATAAGCCCACTTCGCTCAAAATGACTACCCAACCTATCAGTCCGGTAGCGGAAAATTTTTTGAGGCACCATCCATGCTGTAGCAGGTCTCTATAACATTGCTAAGAACTTTCCGCAAACGCAGTTGTTTGAGCGGAAGAGAGTTTTGTCTATCCAGACTTATTTAACCTATATTAGAGAACTGATAACACTTGAGTATTAGTTTAGGTTTTGGATGCGTGGTTGTCCATAGTGTTCACCTTGCAAACAGAAGAGGTATATACATGGAGAGAAATGAACACATAGCAGGAAAAGGATGTACAACCATAGAAATCAGAATTTTGATGATTGGAAGAATTAAATATTCCTGCCCAGTGTATATGAGTACTGCGGCAATTTTTATCTCAGATTTACTTGGGACACGAGTTTTTCTAGCAAAAGTTAGGAACAAAATAAGCGGACTTAGGCGTAGAGTCAGTTTTGTGGAGCATTTGTTCAATATTGCATTTGCTTCTATTTCTGCTCATATTATTATTATTTTATGAATAATAAATTAATGTATCCCTATTAATAATATGTTTTGTTATTTTCTTAATTTTTCCGCTTTCCAGGTCACAAGGAATTGGCGATTGAACTGTATCGCAAGGGCATCAAAGAGTTGGAAGACGGCATTGCTGTCGACTGCTGGAGCGGACGTGGTGAAGTTTGGGAACGAGCCCAGCGATTGCATGATAAAATGCAAACAAATCTCTCTATGGCAAGGGATCGTTTACACTTTTTGGGTGAGTATAAAAAGAATAGGCAAAACGAGTCCTGGTAGTTAGCATGTGATTGTTGTTGTTTTAGACGTTGTTTTTGTTAACACTTTTTTAATTTTTTTTGAGTTAAGTTCTATATTTTATTTTCTATTTTGTTTTGGTTATTTTTTTATATATATCATACATCATTTTGTGGTTGTGTCATGTATGATGATGATGATGTTGTTGATGGTACTGTTGTTCATAAAACCAAACGAACCAATACCCATATAGAATTGCGTGATGAACAGTTGCGTATGGAAGCATTACATCTAAGGGAAGAACAACAAAACAAAAAGCAAGACAATACAAGAAATCGTTCAAATCTAAAACACAGAAAAACCACTACACCGTCCACAACTTCCAAGGCGGCGGCGGCCACAAAAAATGTTCAAGTTGTACAGCCAATGCAAATGGAATATAATAGCTCGAATAATAATAATAGTGGTGGTAGCGCTGGTGCAAGTTGTTCCATACCCATGGTGCGTATTAATAACACCACGAAATTACGCAGTATTGCTGCTCACAATATCAGAAATAATTATAACTCGAATAACGCCTCATCTAATGCGGGGTCGCCTTCTGCCACAGGTAAGATTTATTATTTTCACTCAATATGACACAACTCATGCCACCTGATCCAGGATTTTTCAAAACGAAAACCAAAAGGAAAAGCACCCACATTTGATCTATCAATTTTCGTTTATAATCCGAGTCGGCTACATTGTATTGCATAGCAAAGCGTTTAAATATCTCATATCATCACATTTTATGCACCTTAAATGTACTCGGGCACATTCTTAGTTTGGTTTTTTTTCTTTTTGTGTTGATTTTCAGTCGCTTCTTTTGCTTAACAATTCAAATTTATTATTTTATTACAATTATTTTTGTTATGTTTAATTTCCTAACATTTTAATATTTCTATTTTTTAGCATCGGGTCGCAAACTTACCGTCAGCTCGAAACGTCCAGGCAACCTAGCTGTTGTAAATAAATCACAAACCCTACCAAGAAATTTGGGCTCAAAAAATGCAATAGCCGGTGTATCACAGCGTCAGCCGATTAAAACCGCTGCTACACCGCCTGCTGTTCGAAGGCAATTTGTAAGTTTGAATAAAATCATAAATATTACAATTATAGAATAAAAATGATTCTTGTTTTACAGTCCTCGGGTCGAAATACACCACCGCAACGTTCTCGTACACCCATAAGTGGCATTGGGGGTGGCAGCTCGGGTGGTGGACAATCGAACAGTGGTGCCAGTACACCGGTTGTCAGCGTTAAGGGTGTTGAACAGAAATTGGTACAAATTATATTGGATGAAATTGTTGAAGGTGGCGCCAAAGTGGAATGGTCTGACATAGCTGGGCAAGAAGTTGCCAAACAGGCGTTGCAAGAAATGGTCATATTGCCAGCTGTACGACCAGAATTATTTACTGGTAAGTGTTTCTTTAAGAGAGGATTGGAACTGCGAAATTATGGGTTAATATAAATCTTATGGATACAATCAAGGTCACCAAACCATTTTAAATCGTTCAAATTGTTATACCTGTAATTGATTGGTTATACCCTCCCCAATAAGATTGGGTACATAGGATTTTCCAATATAAAGAAGACTTTGTCATTTATTTAGACGGCTTTAAGTTCGTCTATAATATGACTTAAAAGTTCGTCTATAAATAAACTTAAATGACGTCAACAAAGATAACTTTAAAGACAAAACTGTCTTCGATAACTTCCAAGAATAAGTAAATTAACGTCTTTTAGGATACGACTTTAAGGTCGTCTCTAAAGATGGTTTTAAGGTCGCCTATGTTTTTAAAGTCGTCGGACTTTAAGGTCGCCTATAAGCACTTCTGAGTCGTCCTGAGAAATTAGAACTGTTCCGTCAAACAGTTCATTAATAACGTCCAGCCTTTGTTAATAGGGTCCTTGAATCCGGACCATTTCCATGTCCCCAATTCCATAAAAATAATATTTACGGATCAGGCCCATTTCACCTCGGTGGCTACGTTAAAAAGCAAAATTGTCTCCATTGCAGCTGAAGAACCTCGGCTGCTAAAAAACCAGGATAATTCTTACACAACACGTTCAGAATGGTATGAGAGTAAAAACTATTCAAAGAACGATTTTCTCATAACTTGCGATTTGTTTCTCAAATCTAGTCCCACTTAGGCCAAAGAGGCCATTCAACAGAATTTTATTTCCCCGTAGACTTTAAGTTAATACAGAAACGTAAACCTGGGTGTTCAATTGTCTCTACCTCTTTTTGATATTCAAATTGTGTCCAAAGTCAGGCTGAATAGCTGATGATGCAGAGGCTAATCAATATAGCCATTGCGATTCTTAGATCAGATCGATTAACCCATAGAAGAGAAAAGGTTCTTCTACTCGAGATTGCCCGACCAGATGGCATTATTAACATTGTATCCAGTTTCCAAGTGTCATCTCTTGCCAGCTACATTGAAACATATGACATTATAGCTTATCTGTGATTTGAAAGTCTCATCCATCGGAATATCAGTTTATTGGCCAGTTCATTTAAATTAAGGTTGCCTGATCATGCATCCAGTTCTCAAATGTCATCTCCCGAAACAGCTGAGACAATTGCTTATCGGTGATTTGATTAATCAGTTGAATGGAAATCACTGCGAGCTAGTTCTTCAGTTATTTCATTTCACATAAAAATAGCCTGGGACCCAGCAAAGCTATTTTGAAGTTGGGTTTCTGCCAGACAAGACTTGCTCTCTGTTCAATGGAACTTGACATGATAGCTTTAAAGGCTGCCTGAGCAGGAATCCAGTTTCCAAGTGTCATCTCCCACCAGCTACTTCGGAGAGTCCTTCTTTAAACAGCTGACATAATAGCTTATCGGTGATTTGGTTGTCTCATCAATCGGTTGGTCAGTTTTGGTAACCCCAAAGCTAATTCCTATGTCCCAGGAACCAACAATGCTTAATGAAGTCGTATAGTTTAAAGGAGACTTGCCTGCAATTAAGAATATCACTCGATTTAATGACACCTGATTTGATAGTTTTAAGGCCGCCTGACTATGTCCCATCATTCTCTTGTAACGTTCCCTTACCATTATCATTCATTTATCACCAAGTGCATTAGGGCCGGACACAACTGCACCGGGGAACTTCATCCATTTTTGGAACCGTCCGTATAAACAGTCAACCCGTACAGAAAAGGGTAGAGACTAAGACCAACTAATAACTACCAACGAATTAACTATATTTTTCCTTAAACGAAATTAAGATATATTTTCTTTTTCATAGGTCTAAGAGCCCCGGCAAAAGGTTTACTCCTGTTTGGACCGCCCGGTAATGGCAAAACGTTATTGGCCCGAGCCGTCGCCACCGAATGTAGTGCAACATTTTTGAATATTTCAGCAGCTTCATTAACAAGTAAATATGTGGGTGATGGTGAAAAATTGGTGCGAGCCCTATTTGCCGTTGCCCGGGAAATGCAACCATCGATTATATTCATTGATGAAGTGGATTCTTTACTATCGGAACGTAGCAGCAATGAACATGAAGCATCGCGACGTTTAAAAACTGAATTTCTTGTAGAATTTGATGGTCTGCCGGGTAATCCCGATGGGGATCGTATTGTTGTTTTGGCAGCCACCAATCGTCCACAAGAGCTGGACGAAGCCGCTCTCAGGCGATTCACAAAACGTGTCTATGTCTCGTTGCCCGATATGGAAACACGTGAGCTGCTGTTACGTCGTCTGCTACAAAAACAAGGTAGCCCCTTAGATACAGACGCCCTCAAGCGTCTGGCAAAACTCACCGAAGGATATTCTGGTTCAGATCTAACTGCACTAGCCAAAGATGCAGCCCTGGAGCCTATACGAGAATTGAATGTGGAACAAGTGAAATGTTTGGATATAAGTGCAATGCGTCCAATAACCGAAAATGATTTTCATAATTCATTGAAACGTATACGTCGCTCAGTAGCCCCCCAAAGCTTAACATCATATGAAAAATGGTCTCAAGAATATGGTGATATTACCATTTAAAATTTAACTAGGTATTATTTTTCTATATATGTACACACACAAGCAGAAAGAAACAACCAACAACACCACACACAGTCTCACTCCCTCAACTATACAAAACTTACACTTGATGAATCTATTATATACCTTTGAATATTTTTAAGTTATGTAGTATTAAATAATATTGTATTCTATCTCTCCTATAACTACAGCTGCAAGAAAGTCGTTCGTTATCCTACATTTCCCCACACTAATCGATTGCCTGCCTCCCTACACTACATACTATACGGGCACATTGATTGGGTGATACCTTTTTTCCATTTCAAGGCATTTCAGAAATGTGAGTTTACACCCAAATAATTATTTGTTTCATTAGTTTTTGGATTAGTCTTCTCATCACAGATTATATGTTTCAAAATAATTCCATGTTAGAATATGTTTTATTTGTGCTAAAAAAGAAAAATTGCCTTTTACATTTCATAGAAAACAAACTTAGATTTACTCTTCATTTTAATGGCCCTATGTTTAATGTTTAGGTTAGTTAACATTTCATTGGCAAAACATTTAGTTTTGTAGCGAAAAACTCATTGTATATGCCGTTCATTATATTTCGTGAGACAAACATGTATACAAGACCCAGTGTTTTCAGGTTAAATATTATACAAACATTATTATTTAATTGCGGATTTGTTTTAAAATCTTTATAATTATAAGTATGTGTTAAGTTCATTTTTATTAAGCAATTTCTTTCTATATTTATACAAAATTTCTAATGTCATTATTAAGCCTTGTTTATATTCATATTTCGTCGTTTTCGTCATCATCATCTAAAAACATTGTACTCACAATTGGTATTGCACTGTTCCATAAGATTTCTATATGTAGTATTTAATAAATTCGTTTTTATACTACCCTCTTCTAGTAGAGCAAAAAATTAATACATAAGTTACTATGCATTTTTTCTCCTATTTCTATTATTTCCATGTTAATTCATGATACTCTTGTATTGTGACAAATGTCGCTGCAAAATAGTGCTGTAATATAATAAGATTTTTACCTATGTAATATGTAGTATTTTCAATGAATATGTTTATATTTGTATGTTAAATTCTGTATCTTTCACTGTTTTTTTTTTTTAATTTAGGATGAGAAGTCTAGTTTTGACTATAGAACTATCAAACCAGGATAACCCTTTTACAGATCTAGTCTGGCTAGTAACTCCCCCACAAAAGGTCGAAATTTTCACAAAATTTATTTTCTGCACAGAAAGAGAAAGGATAATCAGATTTTGCTCCGACTTTGCAAATCCTAATATTTGCGTCAGTGCAATGTTAGGTGCGAAAATAGACAATATCAGTCCACTCCATCAAGTACTTCCCCACAAAGGGTCAAAATTTTGAATAATTACAGCTCTTCTAAAATGTGATGCAAGAGTCCGATTGTCTTCGAATTTCACACATCCCAATATCTATAATTTTGCTCTAACTTTGCAAATCTTAATATTTGCGTCAGTTCTAGGTCAGGTGCAAAAATGAACAATATCGGTCCACTCCATCTAGTACCCCACAATGGGTCAAAATTTTGAATTATTACAACTCTTAAAAAATGTCTTCAAATTTCACACATCCCGATAATTTTATTAGACCTAGCACGTCGCAATATTTATAACATTTTTTCAAAACCCACTCCATAGAGGGTCAAGAGTTTGAATAATTACAACAGAAGTCAAAATATTTTTATAAAATCGAAAATTGGCTGAGAGTATACTCTCTTTGAAATAGGTGAATTCATTAAGTTTTGTTGGAACAAAACCAACTCGACGTGTTTCCCAGTCAATTAATCTACTAATTGGTAAGATTGTCATCGAAGAAAATGACAATAGGCTGCAAGGTATCTAAAATCATCTGGCCGGAGATTTTTTACTTCTTCTCCAAATTTCCGGCCAGATGATTTTAGATACCTTGCAGCCTATTGTCATTTTCTTCGATGACAATCTTACCAATCAGTAGATCAATCGACTGGGAAACACCTCGAGTGGTTTTTGTTCCAACAAAACTTAATAAATTCACCTATTTCAAAGAGGGCACTCTTGCTATGAAGATTATCTGTCGATTTTATGACCCTTGACTTGATAGCTTCAAGGGCTGCCTGACCATGCATCCGGTTTCTAAGTGTCATATCCTGCCAGGGACCTCGCTTTTTGTTCAGCGTAAGAGGGTTCTTTAACACCTAATAGCATGTTAGTGGTTTGAAAGTCTCATCAATCGGTGGTTCAGTCGACTGCGCAGCATTCCGAGCTTATTCATCAGCCATTTCTGGCCGATAATTGACTTTACAGGTCCACATTTTCATATAGCCCCCATATTAATGTACCTTCTTCAACGGAATAATCTAAAAATAGATATTTGAAATTTGGAATAGGCACCGCCTACTCTGGCAGATAATTGGCTATATAGGTCCAATTTTTCGTATAGCCTCCATATATCTCTACCACCAGATATTCTGATAATATTGATAATCTTAGAGGATTTTTTTTCAAATTTGCAAGTTCTTTACAAATGGTGGAGGGTATTAATAGTTGTAGTCTACCAAGACAAATATTCGTCTAAAGGCTTTTCAAATTTATTTTTTTCACTTCCTAGCCATGAAAATATAAAAAGCAGGAGCTTCTTACATTTAGGAGATTTTTTTAAAGGTTCTGAGGTCGGATCGGTGTGCTTTAAATTATAAAATGTTCATTGTAATATTTGGAATGCTTATGAACTTATAAAAGGAAACAATGGCATCTACAGATGAGATTGTTGGGAACAAGAGAATAGGATGCTTGGCCGTAGATTTATTATCTTTTGCAGGGTTCTGAGCATGGTAGGAGTCTTTTTACATATGGTATGGAATAAGGGGAAGCTAGGTTACAGTTTAATAGTCGGTAATATGAAATCTGTCCAGGCGAAATTTTAACACTTTATAATAACATAATCTCAGGATCTCTAAGATTGATGCCTGATCATGTTAGTCCTTACGAAAGTAATCTACATCATTGGTCCACCAAACTGAAAGGTCACGCTATTTCCCTCCCTATACCTTGGGTGTTTGTATCTCTCCTGCCTCAGTACGATAAACGATATAATATTTGTGACGAATTGTCTTTGAGTGTCGTTACATCTTCGCCAGGTGGGTATAATTTTTCATAGGGCGTATATGAACGTATGGTTGCTAATCATGTTTTGTATTGCTGCAACATTTCCGCTGCTGTGTTCCTGGCATATGGCCGGAGAAGACCTGTATAAAAAAAGTTTGGTTCCGACGTAACTGTTATAAACAATTAATATTTTCTTTAGTGAAAACAAAAACACTTTCTATTTCTTATATTTAACATTCCATTAAATATCAGGTTAAACTATATTTTATTGTAACTGTTATCAGTCTTTATTTTCGTCTTTATTATTTACAAGAAAACTAGATATATAAATCAACTTCCATTTTATTCAAACAATAGAGCCTACCTAAAATCAAACTGAAAATAATTGTTAACTATTAACCAACACATTGTACATTTCAAATAGCATCAAATCTAAAATCGTAATAGATACATACATACATAAACCCATTTTCACACATGGTATATAGATATATAGCAAACAATGGGAAAAATAATTGTTACTTTGTAGAATAAAAAGCAATAGTTTTAAACAAATCATACTATTTATTATTTAACTCACAACACTACACATGTTACAATTATGAGTTTTCATGTTTGTTTGGCACTTGCAATACTTTTGCAGAACAATAACGAATTAATACTAAAAAAAAAAACAAAATGGATTATTATATGTATATGTAGTTAAAAAAAAAAGAAACTACCCTGCAGCGAGCAGCTTTAGTAAAATTGTAGTGTTTTACTGGTGACATTGTCGCTAGTACTAGTGAAAAAGTATACCACAACCAATGTAATTTCCTATGGACATTTAACATAGGCTTGTCATAGGAGAAGTACCAGTAGACCTTGACTATATTGACTAAGTAGTTCTTTTGGGACTATATGGTGACATTTGAACCAAATAGTCACTAGAAAAAGATTATATCTTTTGAGATTATGTGATGACGTGTATACCAAATAATCACTACATTATATTGGGTTTCCTGAGCTATATGTAGACATTTGAACCAAATAATCACTAGAAAAAGATTAGATCTTTTAAGTTTATATGGTGACGTTTGAACCAAATAATCACTGCATTTTATTGGGTATCCTGAGCTATATGTAGACATTTGAACCAAATAAACACTAGAAGACCATTAGTCCTTTCGAGATCATATGGAGGCATTCGAACCAAATAGTCATTTGAGATTTTTAGGAAAATGCTTGTAATAGAATAAGTATTTAACAACGTTACATTTTTAACGCAGTTATTAAGTAACAAAAACAAAAGTAAAGCACAGTTCAATCTACACACAATATATTTAATTAATCTAAAACAGTCTGCGAATTTTAGGCAAGGTAATAAATTAAGAAATGGATTACATATATAGCTCACTTTTTTCAAGGCTGGCCAAACCTTGTCTTATTTTTAATAAAACTGAATAGTGTTAGAACTAGGATTTTAAAATTATATAGTATAACATAAAAACATTCAGTTAAATTTGTGGTTCTTCATCATTTTCATCTTGTTCCTTTTCTTCGGTGCGCCTGCTTCGTTTGTTGATCTTAAAATACTTTTTCTTTTGGCGTTGGAACGCTGCTCGTAAAGTCTTGTCAGGTAATTTATTAAATGTTGATATAACTTCTGTTTTATAAACTATATTTTAGCATTACTTATTTGAAACAAAAACAAACACGTTTTACCTATTATGGCGGCAAGTACATTACCAAAATCTCGTAGACCTTTTTTCCCGAAAGTTCCGTCAACATTAAAATCCATAATAATATTTCTTCCAAATACTTTATGCAAATTACGTTCAGCGTTACCTGCAATGAGATTTTTCATTTGTCGAGTCTGCAATTGTAAAAATTGTTTTAGTTATGAATTTGTTATTCCCAAAACGCAGATACGTACATATAGATCTGCTTGTGTTGCGAGAATTCGATCAAATTCTCGAAGTTTTTCTTCCGATTCAATTGGAAAAATTGTCATAATATTGTCCACAAATGCGTTCTGAGAAATAACACGATCCAGTAAAACTTTATGCTCCGCCAAAATATCAATAATCGTGTCTAGTTTTCTGGCATTTTCTTGGCAGGAAGAACATTTTGCATTAGCTATCAAAAACATGAACTCAATTTTGTTATACTGTTAAAAATTTAGTGATAATCTTTGGAGATTACCTTGTGGAGCAAAATATTTCATTTTTCCTTTGGAAGGGTTGGCATTTTCGTTCGACATGTTTATGTGCGGGAGTTGTGTACTTAGGAGGTAAAAATTTGTGCTTGATATTTCTCTGGAAAGCAGGAATGTAAAATGGGCACGATTACAAAATCAGAATCAATTGGCAAGCATACAAATTTGAACTGAATGTCTTTAATACAAAATGTCTCTTTTTCCCCTAGAGTCAGATTCGTTTTGAAAATACCAATCTCACAAGAATTCACCGGTTCTTCGTAGAAACTTTCTAATGCCAAAATTCGACTGCCTTCAATATATATTTCGCCCTTTTTCTTTATATTATCAATTTTTATTGAAATGCATGAATTCACCGCGCAAATATTATCTGGTTCTTTGCAGGATATGTAGCAATCATTTACAAAAGCTCCAACGATAACACCTTTTTCATATTTTAACCCATCCTGAATAGTGTTGACAATCATGCAATTTTTTTCCTTTTGAATAATTTGTTGAAAGATATGTGATGGTTTTCGAACATGTTTTTTCAGTGTTTGCAGTTTATTTTCAAATGCATATGCAGAAAACGAAATAAGGGGACCATACTTTTCTGCGCAAGAAGCCAAATGAAGCAGATTATGAACGTTAAAAGAAATGCTGTTCGAACCAAATACAGTTGAGAAGTTCTCGACAAATAATTGAAGCAAATTATTAGCTTGAACAATATTTTGATCCATATGTCGTGCATTGTTAAGAAGTCGATAAGCACAATGTAAAGTTAAAAATTCATAATAAATATCTTCGTGTACATTATTATAAAGAGCAATAATTCCTGTATAAGCAAGGAACTGGTGAAATTCAGTCGCTTTCCAATGACAAAGATCATCTAAAGGCCTGGGTTTTCTTGGGAATTCCCTTGGAATGTATTTTTTAAATTTCACCAATTCAGAAGATATTTTTGAAATATTTTGTTTTGAGGTTTTCTTTTCAGTTTTATTATGCATTATTCTGGTTAGCATTTTTTTGGTGACTCCGAGGTCAATGAGATGCATGCTATCTAAAGGAGTCTGATTTATCATACCAAATCCAATTTCTTCGAGAGGAGTTTTTTCTTCTTTGAACATTTGGGAATGGTGGCATGGATACTTTCGCACAGCAAAGTCCTCATCGGAGATTAGGGAACCACTCTCGCTACTATAAGTCAAGACATTGTTTACCTTCTTCGCAATTTGAGTACACTTGGTGCAGCCATGTGTTGATGTATGTCCAGGAACTCCACAAACGAAAGCTTTTGCTGGTGCGTCACATATTAAGCAACGAAACTTCAATTTTAAATGTTTTTGTTGTATGATAAACTGACCTTTTAGTAGAATCACTTCATCAATGAAGTCTTTCAAATACACATTCACACTACCCGGCTTGGTGTTTCCCAAGTATAATCCAACAACAAACGGTTTTGTTTTCTCCTGAATATTAACGATTCTGCAAAGGATTGGCCACAATTGCACACGAGAGCTTTTGAACAGTGGAATTCCATCGATATTTATATCTAGTTCGACTTCCTCATACTTTTCCAAAATGTGACCAACTTTTCGTAGTTGTGTTTCTATGCCAATATGACAATAAATTCCAGGGGCAACATTTCTCGTTAACATATTTTTTGCTCTGCCCACCAAAGTCTCTCTAGTGAGCGGAACATCTAGACCTTCTTCCTTTAATATTGATAAAAGACTTTCCAAACATTTCTTTGAAGGATTCGTTTCCATGCACCACTTTTTAAGTTTGTCCCGCAACATTAATTTCGGAACTGCAAAATCTTCCATTCCATTTTCCACGAAATCATTTATAAAATCTCCACCGTTTGACACAAATTCACTTTCACTATTTTCTTGTTCACATTGCAAACTTCTGTTTTTATACAATATTTTTTGTTTTTTAATTAATCTTTTATAATTTCTTTTACTCATTTTGTTTATATATTTAATAAATAATCACCTTTTTAACAATAAAACACACAAAACAAATTAATTGCCGATAAAAACGCGTTGTTTCGATGCGATCTACAAAAAAATTACATAAAAATGTGTATATATTCAATATGTTTTAATGACAATAAAAGAAAAGCCAACTGTCGACATTGTCAGTAGAAATACACTACAATCAGTGTCCCAAACCAAACTCTACTCGTAAATTGTTGAAATTTGAACTAGTACAATTGTCTGTAGAAATAAAGTGGTAATATAAGATACATGGTTCTTTGCTCGCAGCAGGGTAAGAAAATCAATCAGAATAATATTTTATGATTAGTTTACATACATAAAAATAATTAATTAATTAGTACAACAGCCTCCATTTTTGTACATCCAAGGTATCATTATTTTACTAATCGTTTTTTTTGTATTGACAAGTTCCACTTTAGGTATCTTCTTTTTGGGTGTTTAGACTAGCTCGTAACATTTTGTTTTGAATGTGGCTGTTGGTAAACCAACACACACAAACTCAGACATACATACACAAAGAAACGTATTTTGCGAAAATATAATTGAATGAAATAAGAAATTTAAACAAAAAAAATGCTTTTTTAATTGTTGAGAATTGATGGTTTCCAGGTAATGTTGATGTTGAAAGGCCTTATGAAGTATTTGTCTACTATTATTATTAGTATAGACACCAGGTCCATCTAAGACATAAAGTATAACCAAATTCTTTGGAAAATATGGCTAAAGGGTATATAATTCCTAAAAATGAATTCAAAGTATAACAAACACTATAGAAAGTATTAGTTGGAACTCCGACGGGTTTATACATAGTACGAGTTTTATGATTCTCCAAAATATTGACACTTTGTACGCCCATGTATGTCTTTTAAATCGCCACGGGGATAATTTCTTCGACTTGCATAGTTCATATATCAGTTCATGCAATGTTTCGGAAAATCCGGGTTACATTTTGGATTCAGTGAAAGCTATAATTACTCAAAGTTTCGTTTTTTAAGGAGGTACCGGAGGGAGTTGACTTATATCGTCTTTTTTTGCACCGTGATGCAAATATTAGGCTGTGCCAAGTTTGAACGAAATTGTGGACTCCGTCCGTTTTACATAAAACAATATTATTTAAAATGTGGTCCTTTTGTCTAGAATACACTAAATGGAATGGTCTGATGTAAGTCCCATATTAGTAGAAGTATAACGATCAAAGTTTCATGGAAAAATGAATGATATACAGGGTGAGATAAAAAAAACTGCAACAAAGTCAAATGCCATAATTTCTACATTTTTTTTTAATTTTATTGAATGCAAGCAAATATTTCGGAAATAGCATCAAATTTTAGAATCAGTTTAGATTTGTTCGAAGTGGTCACCCTTGGCACGAATATGGCCTTCAAACGGCCAATGAAACCGTCACACGCTGCCCGAATGTTGCTCTGCGGTATTTTGGCCTATTCCCGGCGAAGCGCTTGCTTCAGGTGACAAACTCTTTAGTATTTTTAGTGCCAACGTTCTCCAACGGATTGGTATCCGGAGATTTTGAGATTTTGTGCGCTTGAAATGAAATAACCTCATTTTGTAACCATTCTTGGGTGGCGCGTGCTGAGTGCGATGGTGTTGATTCCTTTTGGAATGTCCAAGGTCTGCGGACAAAATGTTTGCGTGCCCAAGGCTTTCATACGCCCTCCAGAATATTTTCGCGATAATATTCGGCATTTATTCTGATGCCACGGTCGATTAATGCGAGCGGAGAGCGACCAATAGCAGTTATGGCGGCCCACACCATCACCATGGCCGGCGGTTGAGTTCTGGTGGCCAACCGAAGGTGCACATTTTCAGCTAACCTCTTGGCAAGTAAACACGGCCATTTTGTTAGTTTACAAACTGCTGGACAACGAAAGTTTTCTCATCGGAGAAAACCAAATTCGGCAGTTCTCCACTTTCGGCCAAGCGAATCAACTCTTTAGCTCTTTTGAGTCTATTTTCTAACTGTTGCGGTGTAAGTTCTTGCACATTTTGGAATTTCAATGGCTTTACCCCGAGCTCATTTTTCAATATTTGCCGAATGGAATATTGCGATATGTTCAGCTTACGAACCATTTTTTGGCTACTGCGACGCGGGTTTCGATCAAGTCGCTTCTTTACTTTTCGAACAATTTCTGCAGATGTTGCTGTTTTCTTCCGTCCACTTCCTTAACGTCGGGCTACGCTACCAGTATCACGGTAACAAGCGATGGTACGAGACGCAAAAGATTTATTCACATTTAAATGCTGGAGTGTTCTAACGATAGCCACTTGTAGTTTTCCAGCCAAATACAAAGAAATCACACTATCTCGCTTGAATTCCATTACGAATAACTTTTTTTCTGGAAAATATTCACCAATATGCTTTTGTACACTTGTAAAAAATATAATGGACTGTCACTGGAATCATTTTAACAGCTGTCGAACGAGTGGCTTAGAAATGACAGCAGTCTGAAGTTGGTTGCAGAAATTTCCGATTGGGACAAAATTTGGAGCCGATTATCTAAAATCCATTTTTAGAATGAACGAGGTTCGTGTCTAGACTATAGTAACACATTTTTGGTACAAGATGCATGGCAAATGTACTAATTATGACCAGTTGCCTTAAAAGAAAAGCTCGTCTCGAAAGAGAAAACAAACACTTAAATAGAAAAAACTAATAGTTTATACAAAATAAATACTAAAACGAATGAATTACCCTGTAACATTAATCTCCAGTGAACGGCTAAAACTTAATAATAATAAAAAGTAATTTAAATTTGAAATTCTAGTTTCAAAGATGATGTTGTGAATATCAGGTCCTCTTTTCCAATAGTCCTTCTTCACAAAACTGGAAGAACAACAAATGTATAACATCGCTATTTGAAATATGCGGAGAGACTAAATTCTTTGACATTCAAAATGGACATTTCATGTATGTCCTTCTGGTCCTATGGATCGAAAATGCATAATATTTTCCTGCTCATACCTTAAATTTCAAAAATATCAAAAAAAAAAAAATATGTGTCATGTTAGGTAATTTCCGCTACTTTGAATGGGGAAAAGGGAATTAATATTTACTTTTTTACCCCAATCGAATATATTAATATCAAGTTACAAATTGAGTTAAATAATTACACATCATACAGGGTGAGATGAAAAAATTGCAACCAACTTCAGACTGCTGTCATTTCCAAGCCACTCGTTCGACGGCTGTTAAAATTATTCCAGTGACAGCTCGTTATATTGTTTACAAGCGTACAAAAGCATTTTCGTGATGGAACTCAAGCGGAATAGTGTGATTTCGTACCCTCTCCCGTTACCGTGATACTGGTGGCGTAGCCCGACGTCAAGGAAGTGGACGGTAGAAAACAGCAACATCAGCAGAAATGGTTCGAAAAGTAAAGAAGCGCCTTGATAGAAACCCGCGTCGCAGTGGCCGAAAAATGGCTCGTGAGCTGAACATGTCGCAATATTCCATTTGGCAAATATTGAAAAATGAGCTCGGGGTAAAGCCCTTGAAATACCAAAAAGTGCAAGAACTTACACCGCAACAGAAAGAAAATAGACTCAAAAGAGTTAAAGAGTTGCTTTGCTTGGCCGAAAGTGGTTTTCTCCGATGAGAAAACATTCGTTGTCCAGTACGAATGTTGTCCAGTAAAAATGTTCGTGTTTACTTGTTTAATGAGGTCATCTGAAAATGTGCACCTTCGGTTGGCCACCAGAACTCAAGCGCCGGCCATAGTAATGGTGTGGGCTACCATAACTGCCATTGGTCGCTCTCCGCTCGCATTAATCGACCGTGGCATCAGAATAAATGCCGAATATTATCGCCTTGGGCACGCAAACATTTTGGCCGCAGACCATGGACATTACAACAGGGCTCAGCACCATCGCACTCAGCACATGGTTACAAAATAGGGTTAATCGCTTTATTTACAGCGCACAATGGCCACCAAAATCTCCGGTTACCAATCCGTTGGACTATTATGTCTGGAGTATTTTTGAAATCGAGGTTGGCACTAAACAAATAAAAAAAACCTTAAGTTCGGGCCGAACTTTTAATACCATCCAGCTTAGGGTAAAGGAAATATTAGAACCCATTGCGACCCACAAATACCAGACACATTCGTGGGAAAATGTGGGAAAAATCATCGAAATATCGAATATCGGGAGGTACCGCTATATGGGGCTATACAAAAACGTGAACCTATTCATACAATGTTTCGCCAACGGGGCTAGAACCCATTATGACACACAAATACCAATTTTTAGACAAATCCGCGAAGAAATGCGACAAAAATCATCAAAATACCGAATATCGGGAGGTACCGTTATGTGGGGACTATACAAAAACGTGGACCGATATATCTCATTTTCAATACTAACCATCCTAGACACAATACAATTTGTTCTTATAAATTTTGACGCTCTACGTCAAATAATGACGTACATCGTACAGACGGACATCGTTAAATCGACTTAGAATTTTATGCTGATTATGAATATATATACTTTATGGGATCTACGACGAATATTTAGGGATGTTACAAACGGAATGATAAAGTTAATATACTCTCCTTCCAAGGTGGAGGGTATAAAAATACCAAAGTGTCGATCACCTCAAGCAAGCGCTTCGCTGGGAATGGTCTAAAATACCGCAGAGCAACGTTCGGACAGCATGTGACGGTTTCATTAGCCATTTGAAGGCCATAATTCGTGCCAAAGATGACCAATTCGAATAAATCTAAACTTATTCTAAATTTGATGCTATTTCCGACATATTTTGCTTTCATTCAATGAAATTTAAAAAAAAAATGTAAAAATTATGGCGCTTGACTTTGTTGCATTTTTTTATCTGAGCTTGTAGCCCAGATGCCACATAAGGATACCTGTTACTCCACTAATATCTCTATTACCTAGTAATATAAGATTCTTCGTTTTTATCTCATTGGGGTCGCCCAACGGGATTTTTGCTCATTTCTTTAACTCTAGACGGGACGCGTTCTGATATATATAGTAGTCATATAGCTGAGAGTTTAAAAATATGATTATGTCCCTCGAAAAGATATCTCAAGCCTCAAAATCCTTGAATCTTTAACTAATCAATCTTCCCTCTCATTTCTGTACTAACTCTTTCTGCTGAGTATAGGGCGTTTGTTGTAATCACCATGGCCAACAACATCATGCGACTTACAAAGAGGTTCGAACAATCTTGGCTGGCCATCAAACCAATCGAAGGAAACGGCGTTGAACGCAACAACGAACGACGAACCAAGCACAACTCAATTCGATTCAATTCAGTTTCAATTTAAGTTCGAGTTCGACAAGTGGTTAAAATACGCGTAGCGGCAGATCGTCGTATTTGGCTAAAAGAGAGAAGAAGAAACAGAAAATAAAAACTTAGTTTAGTTAATGTACAACAAGAAACATCGTTGTTCTTGTTGTTGTTGTTGTTACTGCTGCCGTTTTCAGATTCTTTGCAAAAAAAAAAAACAAACGCGAAATAAAATTGAAGCTATACGGGATACAGTGAGTGCGTCGTGCCTTGTGGGCCAAGAAGCATCTAAACTTCGTTTAAGCTGTGATTTTATGGCCTTTTAAGTGTTAATTAAAGTGGCAAAAAATTATAAAAAATTGTTTTGTTTGTGATACGCATAAATAAATTGTGTCTTATTAAAGAAGTAGACGAACAACAACAGCAGCAGCAATAAAAAAGCGACCAAGTTAACTAATCGCAAAAAACAGATGGTGTAACATCATTATCACCTGCAAGTGTCTCAGCTGCCCTGGTATTGGTATCCTCGTCCAAACGAAAAAAAAAGCCCAGTAACATCGTACGACCAGCGCCATATATAGCAGCATCCATAACGTCGCACAGACGGACAGCCAGTCAGACCTCATCATTTCGCCGTTGTCGTCTTCGACGTGATATCAACAACAGACAGCCAAGTCACCTGGCCGGCTTGTTAATAGGGTAATAAAAAGAGTTAATGAGGTGTGTTTTGTTTAGCATTTTACATATGTTTGTGGACATTCAAATTAGTTACAACTGCCCGTGTTGAGTGTTGAGGAAAGCATAAAAGTGATTCGAATCAAATTTTGAAAAAAAAAAAAAAACAAAGAACAACAACAACCAAGACGAAAAATCAAAATCAATTCCCTTGCAACGAGGTCCATTTGGAAATGCCAAGCAGTCATGATTTACATATATGTGTGTGAGAATGTGTTAGTGTGTGTGTGTTTGTAATAAAGCGGTGATACCATAAAATGGAAATTAGAGCACACACTTCCCACGAACTTGTTTCCATTTTCTCGGCTCACTCACTCACTCACCCCCCTCCTTTCCCCATTTGCAAACTGTGTGCTTTCCCCAAACTTCCTTTGGGCTGCCTACAGCTTTGTCTGCTGCATCAGCTCAGCTCAATGTGTCTGCGCCCAAATGTCTGACAGTAGTGCCATCATCCATCGTTAACGATCATTGTCTTAGTTTTTTTGTGGATTTCTTTGTTTCTTTGTGGCCTTACGCAGCTCCTCTCTCCTGCTAACCAGATCAGATCCGACCAGACCATCCAGCCAGACAATTGGCAAAAATCATAATGGCTTTTTTATTGGATGACAGCGTTCGAGAGACATGGTGTCGACTTTTGCGTCATCCCAAGGCATTATTTGCAAAACCAGTCAGGAAAGGATAAAAGCCGGATGGGGTAGACTGTTTTGTTCCCTATGTAGCATAGTTCCCTATGTAGTTGAGCTTTCAAAGGCATAAAAGTGTAAGGACTATAGAAAAGTAGTTTATGGGAATAATTTCTAGGTAAAAAATACAATTTTGAGTAAACCGAAAATCTGGGGGCAAAATTCACTCGGAAAAATCACGATCGATTAAATAATGCAATTTTATCGTTAGAAACTAATAAATATCGAATGCTAGAACCATGGCCTATACAAAGTCTGGCAGTTATTCCCTCTGAAAACTACGTTTGTTGTCAATCAATATATTTCCGGTTTGCTATTTCCTTTTTTTTTATTTCCTTTTTTAGCTAGAGCTTTTTTTGAATGTTTTTTTTTTTTTTCAAATTTTCATTTTTGTCAACCTAAAATGACAGACAGAAATTTATTTCGATCGAAATTAGTTCGATATCGAATGCAAGAATTTGGTCTTTTGTCTCAAGATGTTATTCCTATTTCATTTCCAATCAAAGACCTTTCAATTATTTGAATATTGCCTTATTGGTTACAACATATTAACATTTTAAAAGTTTACATCGTAAAGTAACCTAAATAGAGGGGACCAGTTTCCCCACATTTTTGGATATTTTCGGATTTAGATTGTATTTTGTAACAATACGAGGATTATTTTGGTCGAAACTTTTTGGTTGCTTTTACAAAAAATTACTAAAAACAAAGACCTAAAATGGTAAAGACTAGACAAAATGCATTCTGAGCAAATGGTTTGTGGCTGTGCTACTTTGAATTACAGCATATGACAAAGGCATGTTAATATAAAAAACAATTATAGGAAAGAATGACAAATAAAAGTTTGGATAATCCAAAATATTGGTTTCAAAATTTTATTCCATATACCTTCCCAAATGATAGCATGCTGTCTTAGCGTTTTAAATTGCTTAACATTGGTAACTATGTTGTTACGATATCATAACAACAGAGGTATTTTTCACAGGGTTGCCATATTTTACTCTGTCTTGTCCTATCTTTATACTTCTATGTCTTTGCTAAAAACGCCCTTTAAATGGGATCGTACTAAGTTATAATATTCTACAACTATATTTGTTGCAAAATGCTACTATAGGTCTCAGAAAAAATCAGAAGTCTACATCTTCCCCAAACCCCAGGAATGCCTAAATATTAAAAAACATTTTAGGATTAAAGTCTTACTTAATGGTGATGACAAATTTTAGAAAAATGGCGCCAAAGGCAAAAATATTCCTTATCAAATTTCAGTATATGCAACCAAAGAAAAGAAATCTTTATATTCACTTCTTATGAGGAAAAATTCAAATAATTTAAAAAAAAATCGAAAATATTTCCTATTTTTCCACGAATTCGAATTTATGAAGAATTATTAAATTTAATTTTAGGTAGAAAGTATTAAAACAAGACAAAACCCTATGTCTAGGCTAAAAAGTTTTTAAGAAATTTTTAAAAATTTTTAAGAATTTCGAATGTTATATTCGAAATTTATATAACAGAAGTGAAAATTATATGTTAAAGGGTTTTAATGCTAATTTATGACGTTTACTTCACTAAATTAAATATTGTTTTTTATTCGACCTTGTCCACTATAATTTCAATTAGTAAGTTTCTTCTAAACTTCAAATGCAATGTAACCCATTGCGAAATATCGGATTTTAATAAAGAAAAAACCCAGACCTAAAGCTCGAAGAAAAATTTACTTATTGAAGTTACTAAATTAAAGTTTACGCAAATACTTCTAGAACGCCTCATTTTCCAAGGATAACGTCAAAGACAAAATTATTCTTTACCAAATTTGACTATAAGTTGCCAAAGGAAATAAATCTCTAATTTCATTAAATATCCAGATAACATTTGCCTCAATGTTGCCAAAAAGGAGGAACATTTTCTTTTTTTGTTATTCATTTTTCCTCGTTCTGTTTTGGAGTGTATTTATAAAACAAACATAAAATCTCATGCAAAAGGAAGAAATAATACACACAAAATTTTACCATAAATTTCAGACTAAACATATATCTAGGTTTAATAGTTTCTAAGCAAAGTACGTTCCATTTTCATGTATTACAAGTGATAATTCTGTGTTTGTATTTTAGGCTGTTAACCAATTTTGTTCCGAGATTAAATTTTATTTTTGTTTAAAAAAAAATATTTTTTAGGTTAATTTGAGACCACTGAAGTCAAAAATTTACTCAGAAAAATTTTCAGATTTTTCGTTTTTGCAGAAACCAGTGTTCGAAATTTCGAACCGCCAAGTTTACACATATGTAAAGTCATGCTCACGCATGTAAACCATTCTTTTTATATTTAGTGTAACGGTTACATATATTAGCAATAATTCCTCATCATTTCTTTTTCCATTTATTATTTTTTGTTATATTTTAAAAGTAATTTAAAAAGTTTCCAAAAATATGGGATTTCAGAAAGGTACACCTACCATCAAGTATTTTTATTGGGGATTTTTATACCCTTCACCATAGTATGGAGGGTATATTAAGTTCGTCATTCCATTTGTAACTCATCGAAATAATCATTTTAGACATAACAAAGAATATATATTCTTGATCAGCGTAAAATTCTAAGTCCTGTCCGTCCGTCCGTCTGTTGTATTTACCCTAGAGTCAAAACGAATAAAAATAGGAAGCTAAAATTTTGCACAGATCAGTCTTTTGTTTGCAGGCAGGTCAAGTTCGAAGATGGACTACATCGGTCCACGATATCGTATAGCCCCCATACAGCCGTACCCACGATATTCGGTATTTTGATGAGTTTATCCACATTTATCAATGGAATTGTCTTAAAATTGACACAAGAAGTTCTTTGCAAGTACTTTACTCCCCCATACAACGGTACTCCCGATATTCGGTGTTTTGATGATTGTAGCGAAATTTTTCAATAAAATTGTCTGAAAATCCACATAAGAATTTCCTGCTGAGTACTTCATCCCCTGGAAGATTATTGTCTGTATAGGTCCACGGCATCGGTATTTAAAGATTTTAGCTACATTTTTAATTGAATTGTCTCAAAACCCACACAAGATGTAATTTCTAAGCACTTTACCCCCAGGGAAAATAAATGTTTATATAGGTTCAAGATATTGTATAGCCCACATACAAAGGTACCCCCCGATATTCGATATTTGGCGATTTTAGGGACATTTTTCACCGAAATTGTTTGAAATTTCGTACCTAGAATTCGTAATGGGTACTGTAGTCTATGACAAAAAATTGCTTATGCAGGCCCACGTCTTCGTATAGTCTATATCCTGTATTTTTAAGATTTTAGCGACATTATTCACCGGAGTTGTTTCAAATTTCGTATATAGAGTTCGTAATGGGAACTACAGTCTATGACAGAAAATTGTCTGTGCAGGTCCACGTTTTGGTATAGACCCCATATAATAGTGCGTCCCGATATTCGGTATTTTGATGATTATTCACCGATTTTTTAAAGTTTCACATTTGACTATTGTAATTGCTCATGACAAAGTTGCCTATGCAGGTCCACGTCGTCGTATAGACCCTAATATAACGGCTACATCCGGTATTTTAAGGATTTTAACGTAATTTTTAACGTATTTTATGTTTTTGAAAATTGCCAAATTCGTTCCAAATGATGGAGGGTATTCAAAGTTCGGCCCGGCCGAACTTACAGCTTTTTTACTTGTTTGTTAAAGGAAGTGCTACACATTACGAACCCCACATACCAAATTTGAAAGAATTCCATTAAAAATGTAACATAAATCTCTTATAATACCGATTATCCTAAGTTATCGTTATATGAGGGCTATATGAAAATGTGGCCTCATATAGATAATTTCCTATCAGAGAAGACATAACCTATTGTCTACACCATATACCAATTTTGAAATAATTCCGTTGAACAATGTAACTAGAATCATCAAAATATAGAATATAGAGAGATACCGTTATATGGGGGCTATGCGAAGTCGTCAAACTGTTTTCTGTCATTGGAAGTAGTACCAACTACGAACTCCAAATACCAAATTTAAAACAATTCCTTTGAAAAGTGTGACATGTTATGATTAGTATGCCGAATATCTGGAGGTATAGTTATTTGGAGTCTATGACAAGTCTTGGAGCTATATGGGCAGTTCTCTGAAAATATATTTCCCCCATACTGGGAACACAAACTGTCAATAAAACGAAAATTCAGTTTGAAATTATGACAAAAATATCTTAAATCTGCCAGTACTGTTATATTGCGGATATGCCAAAATATAAGACCACATTTGTTCCATTTTCCATATCAACAATTCTATGGACT